AGCACTCAATCACTGCCCTAAAGGTGCAGAGGATTCAAAATTTCCGAACGTCAGTATCTTTTAAAGTCCTACGCACATTCCTTAGAAAGTTGGACTATTACGGTCGTTTCCCGCCCAGTGTGTGCTTGCATTTTAACTGCGCTTATCAACCTCCTGAAAGGCACATACATAACTTTTGTATGGCATCTGGGGCATTAGAATCATTTCGAAAGATCGACACGCAGTAGTGGAGGCCACGACGTTGGCTCAGCGAGGTGAAGGTTCTCCTCTTAGCACTACGCCCAATGTCGTTAGCGTGGTCATAGTAGCCATACTGCAGCAGCTTTTGGGATTCCACTTGCGCGGTTCTGAAAGAAACTACCTGCGTGCCAAATGTGGCGCGGGACTTTTGGTTGTAAACTGCTCGCCATACATCTCTCAGCTAAACATTTTGTCGTTTTGTGGAAGTTCGTGGCTTCTCCACAGTTATCGGCCACAAACCTTAACTTGCACTCCACTTGCCGCCGCGGATAGCTGTTCAAAACATGAATTACTGCATCAGCACCACATTTCAAAGTTCACCCCAGATGCCCGTTACGTGTCTGGCATGAAAAATCTCGCACCATTTCGAGGTTGAGTCACCACTTTACCCCAGGAGGCTGACTTGCAGCAAACCGCCAAACTTCACACACGTATTCGTGCGTTGCGAGGATGGCTGTAAACCCTTGAAATCACCGCACGGCGGACCTTCCAAGGTTGTCAGGAGAAAGTTCTTCGCCGTCGATAGATCAGGATGGCAAAATACCATGTGCGTTGACCACTGACGGCAGTTCATGTCACTAATGATCGATCTCTCTGCATTGGAACGATCAATCAAACCTTCACTTCATAAGCCGAAGGAAGACTATCCGTTTCAAAGAGGCAGTGACTCCACCCGTGAACAAGACACTGCTAGTAAAGGCGAAGCGCCGTTTACACGTTTCGGTCGACGGGTTCGCTGCCCGAACGCCTGACAGACTTTCATTACTTAGTCGTCCACAGTTCTGTGGTATGGACAAGTTTGGATTGTGTTAAAGCAGTTTTACTCATATACTTGCATAGTTTTTTTCATGCTACGAAAATTTCCTTAATATGTGCCGAAAAATTAGAAAAAATGGAAAAATGTTCATCGGGAAAAGCATCTCGATATCTACTGTTAAGAATGTTTTGTCCACGACTTCATGAACGTGCGCTGCTTGTCATTTTACCCTTATCTTACACCAGCGCTATGTATTCCTCATTTCAACTCAGTAGACAGGCATGTTATCGGATATAAGCCGGATATGGGTGATATCAGTTGGATAGTTCCCCCGTTCCTTGTATAAATTCCCACTTGCACATCTCGCTCTACAATTTTAGGTTCGTTAAGTAAATAAACATGTAGGTTTCGGGTCATTTAACGTTACTGCAAGAAGAGTTACATTCCAGCGCAAAGTTTTGTTACCCCACAGGTGTGCATAACCGTACTAGCATCGGAGAATCACATGTTATCTACTCTGTCCACAATATTGGACAGTGTTGCGTATGAGTCTCAGTTGCTTCCTACGGGTTGAAGGTTATCGGCGTTCAAAAAACCTTCTTACGAGGGATAGCCTATGATGTACCTTCTTGGCACCACTGTGGCTGTAGATTCGGAGTATATGAACAAACATTTAAAATATCTCAATAATAGCCAAATTATATTCCACAGTGGTGGGCGGATGACACTAGCCTTTCGAATTTGTTTTGATGTGTTGGCATGCATCTGCCGACATCCGCCATCTTTGCTTCTTTCTTGTTCTGATCAGTGATAAAGAATTCAGAATCCCTAGCGCTCTAATTGATGGACGGGTACGTCTAAATTTCCTGCTCCAAAATGGCTTCTTTCGTTTTGACCAATAGATAAGCCGGTTGTCTGAGTAATTCTCACCACAAACTGAGTCTTCCTGCTTGTCTTTTGTCATTTGCGTTGGCAGGTAGGTAGGTTACCGAACACTTTGTGTTAGTGCATACGTAAGACTAGTTGCGTGTGAAGCATTGGTCTGTGAGTGTAAGCGAAGTACGTGAGTACCGGCTAGCCCGCTCATTGTTCACAGTTTCGAAACTAGAATTGCTGACGGGCTAATCTACGTTCCGTCAGCCTACCGCATGGGGTTTGGCCTATTCCTATAAACTGACGGTGCCATCTTTTCAGTCGCCCCCAAGTACCCTAATCATCCCAAGAAAAGTGTTTATATAAATAGCGGGACAGCTTGGCTAGTTTCCTGCGTAAAATGTGCGCTGCCTACATTAATTTTCTGTTCTATCCATATATAACTCAGGAGAAGGTAGTAGGTACGCAGGTTCGATTAATTTTTGCAGGAGGCACTGACTTCTTCCTCTCGCATGCAATCGGGTGTGATGAGCCCCGTTTATAAGAACTCATACGCTCACTTACGTTACTGTCATGTTCGGATTTGCAGTGTATCAACTACAGAAATACATCCAAGAGGCTAGTTTTACGATGTCTACGCGAAAACGATCAGAATAATCACTTGGCAAGCACTGGCTCTGAGTATAATCAGGACAAACAGGGAGGAAACGCAGAGGATGGATGAAGAAGTAGCAGGCTCACCAACTATGTGGATTGTAGAGGCTGTTTTTGCGGACTGTGTTCACCGTATGGATTCAAAGTCTTTTCGGGGCCCGTTGGAGATTCCCAGGTAAAAATCCCATCGGTCGTCAATTATACCAATCTTCAGACAGAAAAATCCGTCTTGGGAGATGTCCCGATGTGAACTAGATGGACAACGAAGCCAGTGGCTAATTCTTCTTGGCTGTAGGATACCCATGATGCGAAGTCGTATCAGTAGGCCCAGATGCTTAAGCGTGTGCCCTCAGCCCAGGCGGGGCGCGAAGATAACCTCGGTCAGTACCGGCGATGGGTAATGATAATGGGTAGTGATATTGGGGGACTATGTACCACTACAGCCTGCTCACCACCTAGCCGGTTTGTGAAAACTTCGGAACGACACTGGCCGGAACCAAACAGCACATGGTGTTGCGGTTAATAAAACTCTTCCGAACACGTCGCTGCCGGTCGCCTGAACCTACTGTGTCTCCGAAAGAGGTGGAATGATCAGTTGAGTAGTAGGCCGGTAGCGACCACGGTAGAGATCGGCCATTCCGTTCATTATGTGTCAACCTTGAAGTGTGGATGAAAATATCTGATAGTGGTAAATCTCATGGCACCAGGAACAGGCAACATGTGCACACTGTAAGTGGAACGTCGGTGAAAATAGTTGATGCTTAATTGTTCCAGTTATTTTTCGGAAATATATGATGTCTTGGTTGGAAAAAATACCATAGGGGTAAGTGCTGAGAAAATCTTTGGGTTCATAGCAAACCATGTACAAGGACAAGTAAGGAATTTTAAAGGGGGTGCCGATGCTAACGAATACTAAGCAGTTGAGCACTTTGTCAAATTTTAAAGAACCTGATCTGAACGTTGTGTAGAAAGTAGTTTCGCATCTGTGTCACCAGGTCGTTCGCCGAGAGTTCCAGCAATCTCGTCTTCCGCTCGCTGGCTATCATGAGATATGGAGTGGCAGTCTGACATTAGCTTTGCATCGACCAGTTGGTAATCATCAGCTGAGCGCCAGCCACTACTATACTTTTACGGAACCGTATTCACTCGTGACGTCTAGGGCTTGTTCAGTAATGCCCAAGTCAAGCACGTGATAGATTTTGTTCTTCGCCATTTTTGAGTTTTTAAGGGGTGGAAATTGTACTTTGGATGTCACAGATGGACCTGTGGTTGTGGCGTGGTGCACGGGGTTGCACAGTCAGGCATTTGACGGCTGCCCCAACCTGGGATATTCTTCTAACACTGTTTGGTAAAATGAGTCGACCGAGTGTTTCAGGCCAGCTAGTAGTCTAGTAGTCTTCATCAGCGGTTTTCCATGAGTAGGTCGTAATGATCCAGCAAATCTGTGCCAATGATGGATATGGAGACATCAGCTAGAAGGAAAACCCGGTGAATAGGTTTGTGGGAATCTGAGTGGAGACCGTGACACATTTTTCCAAAAGCCGTTATCGCGTTTTCATTACCTACTCGCAAGCGAAAGAACAAACTGTGATGACGTTCTCTCACGATTGCAGGAAGTACACTCACTTACGCGCCAGTGCTGACCACTAAGGGAGCTTCCGTATTCACGTCAGTGGAGTCAGATGGACTGCGTTTTCCTCCTGTTGTGATCACCATCAGAGTGCATGGTTTTCGACAGTTTCTTGCTTCCTTGCGGTTTATGTTATGGGAGTTATATTCCTCACGGTTTTAGACCCTACTACAATCTAACGTGTTCATTGCCGTCAAATCAGGACACCTTATAGGAAGCGGCAAGAGAGAAAACAGATACCGTCTCCGTGAAATTCTGATCTCCGCGCTAAGCACCGAACTGCGGTTGAAAACAGAAAGAACAAGGCATGTGCCTATAATCAGTTGAGTCACTCACGAGGGTTCTAGACAAGCATAGACGTCCACTGGAAGAGAATCAATTAGAGCTCATGGCCTTCTATCCTCAAAGTACCAACATAAATCTGAATCTAAAAGTGTCTCTTTGTCAGCGCGCACAATATATTTATTTGTTTGACAACAAAAATACCTACTGTTACTTGTTCTTTACAACACACTTTTTCTAAGTGATGCATCTTCGAACTAATGTGCTTGACCGCTTGACTGTATGATATTCAGAATTCCTTGGAGCTTTTTATTCCTAGAATGAAGTGCATATTGTTGTTGAAGCATGATAAACACCTAACCAATCACAGTGTTTAGCATTCTAACATCAGCTAAGTGGTTTGACTGACTGAATGAAAGTTAAATGAACGCGCAAAACAATGTCATGATTTCAAGAAGACACTGTAAAGCATAAAAGGATTTGTATAAGTCTGTAGTGGAATATATGTGACATATTGCCTTGTAAAGTGAATTTCTTCTTGCACTGTTTTGTTTTAATGGGTTGAGGAAGGCATTTTACGAGCTGGTAATCTGTTTCCGCTGAGTAAATGAAAAGGTGCAGGAGTTCGGATCTCCAGTTGTCTGTAGTTGGAGAGGAAACTCTGAAGCGATGCCGTTCAAGTTCGCATGAAACGGTCAATAGTCATAACTTTTTGACCTTGCCAGTCGTTATAAAGCATAAGATACTGTCGCTGGTTGAAAGTATTTTACGAATGTTTTTTTATGCAGTCGTAGTTACTGACCTGATAAATATGTGGGATGCCTCGAAGGAATTACAGTTGATGGTGAAGGCATACTGTGCAGGCAGTCACTGTCCACAGTTTTCACAGTTTTACGATCCGCACAATCACCCTCAACATAGTTTTAGACGGTTTGCTGATTTGTACAAGGCTATTGGTAAGTAAAGTGTTTTATATGACGTTGGTAGGAAGCCTTTTTCGTAGAACCTGTCAAAATCTCTCTTTCCGCCGCAAACTTCAATTCCTGGAATTCCACCTGCCTCGCGTAAGTTAGTAATTTATCAAATTGATGCTATCTTGTCTTCACTTTATTCGCTTAATATCACAGGGTCAGATTAAAATGTGAAGCTTCCAGTTAGATTTGACTTCAAAACTGTGGCGTGTATGTGTATAGATATACCCATGCACATCCATTTATTTACAAATGGATTTAAATTCCAGATTTTTTGTTTGAGGATAGAAGGTTGTGAGCCTATATTAATCCTTTCCCAGTAGATGTATGCTTATTCAATCTTCTTTTGAACAATCCAGTCGTTAGGGTGTTTACAGATGTTCCTGAGAGTCTGTCCCAGGGGCTAATTGCTCGACGTGAGAACCAGTACTCCACACTTACAACGTCTGTTCTTTGTGTTTTTTTCTTCTGCCATATCCTTTGAGGTGTTCCAACCTAGTGGAAGGAAAACGATAAGATAGATCAGGTCCAGAGTCATTTGTTGGAACCCTACATGACATGATTAGGCCTCCTGTGTATCTTTAGGATTCATCCTGGTGCGAACTTTACAGACGCAAAGACCAATCACTAATTATTCGGACTTGTTATATACCCACAAATACGAGACCAAGGAAGAACACGATAGCGTAGTCGGATGGAATTGTATATTTGGATAGTTGTGCCAAAATACCGATGCGTTCCAACTAACTGGCTAGAGAGTCGAATACGAGCAATGCAACGTAACACGACAGCGTGCCAAATGGTGAGGATGCTTGACCGGGTGCCTTCAGCTTAGCGAGTCCAGTTAAACTATCAAGGTCAGCATCAATGTCGAAAGTCGTCAAACCCTAGGCTACTGAGTTTGGGGAAGTGTGTGGCGCTACATATCTGCAATCGGATTAAAGGATGTTTAGCTCCTTAAGTCGATCTTCGTAGGTCAGGGCACTCATCGCAGGGATCTTGCAATTGGCTGCCCTCTGAACTACTCTTCTAAAAGGTTTAATTCACCCTGCAGACAAGGTTTTTTGGCTTGTGAATAGTTTTTGGCCCAGATGAAACTGAGAATATGTATTAGATGGTGAAAATATCAGCAATTATTTTTGCAAACATTCTGCGTAATGCCCAAAATGTCCTAAAACTCCAAGCTGCGACCAAACGACAGTGTGCTTTGGTCTTTAAATCATAAATCACTGTAACTTCTGAATCACTGTTGGTTGGTACTGACAGTAGAAGAGTCCCGCTAATACTATGGGTGTTGCCATATGTATGCTGTATGTATAAACTCACTCATTCACCTGCTTTGATTGGGATCAGTCACTTCTCTGAGCATGTGAACAACCTATTTATATCTATTTGAAGTGAGCGTCTGTCCTCGTCGTCTCTAATTTGTCATCAAATTTCTGCACCACCAGTATAGAGAACCGCTGGGTATTCAGCGATTTTCGGTATTTAATTTGTATGTGGCAGAAATAACAGGGGATGCAGGACAGCACCTTACGGCACTCCACTTTGTGCCCACTTTTAAGAGAGCAGTTGAGAACTGATTCCAACTTTTCTTCTTCTACCAGCAAGTAACTCTGTGATCCACACAGGTGGGTTTCCTACTATTCCGGAACGTCCCAGTTACTCAGCTATCTGACATGAGGTACCCAGTCGAACTCCTTATTAAAGTCTGTGAAAATATACAGGTGTCCTATCATCTTTAGACTTATCCTTACTTAACCTGACTCTGAGAGAGTTCGTCAAGCAAGAGGAAGTTTTGTGAAAGCTATGCTGCAAACGAGACAGTAGAGTGTTGTTCTGTAGGTGACATTCAATGGCTTTCTTAATCACTCTTTCCAGGACTTTTAGTTAATTACTAGTCAGACTTATCACTCTGTAATTTGATGGGTGCTGTCTAGAACCTGCCTTGTTGATAGGTGTCACCATGGCGTCCTTTCAATGATAGGGGAGTGTGCAATCACCGAAGGACAGTCTAAATATTGTAGTCGGTGTGCCAGCTACATGGAGGGCAAGCTCCCTGGGCAGTTCCGGGTGCAGCTCTTCCGGTCTTTCTGATGTTTTTACACCAAGACATTAAGTCCGAAATACACCATTGAAGTCGATATTCGCAGAGTTTATTCTGTTGTATGTCAATGCTTCTTCTGTTGAGTTGGTATCCACAGAAGGTTCCTGTGCAGACCTCAACAAAATATACAGCCATAGCTACTGCTTGTCCCTTATTTATCTTCAATTTAATAGTTAGTTTCTGGCTGTTTTATTGGGGCGGGTATAACACGGCATGCCTTATCTCCAGAGCTTACATAAGAAAATAACCTCTTTGGGCTTTGCAATGTGGCCTAGGCAAGACGTGTTTCAAAGCACACTCGAGACCGGTTGACAGCAGCGACATATTTGTTTCGGGTTTATTTTTTGACGCTTGCTCACCATGGGAGTACCGTTGTGGGGAGAAAACTCTAGCACCTTTTTTGCGTCATAGCGCGATTCATATCTCATGGTTTGTCCACGGAGGACGGTGTTTCCGTCCCTTTGGAACAGTCCATGGAATAAACAGTTGAGTTATTCTTGCATATAGTTGTTTGAAGAAAAACCACGCAACTTCCGACAAGGCTTCTGGTTAGAGTGTCGAGTCGTCTGAAGAGACTACTGAGTTAGTAGCTGCAATATTCGCCTTCCATACATCACGTCTAGGGTATCGGTCTGGTATAAGATCACTGCTATGGATCTGAAGATTATCACAGCATGATTACTTTTAACGAAGTGTACAAGGTGCCGGATAAAGCGTGTATCGTCTATATGTCAGAATAATAAGTCTAGAACTGATTGAGAACGTTGATGATCGTATTTAATTGCTGCCGTAACGTGCCGTATAAGGACACAGAAGATGGATGTTTCCACTAACCTTTGATCAAGCAAATTACGTGAAGCTTCCGTTTTTAGTCTAACCCAATCAATTGGTGGTGCGTTGAAGTTTTCTACAACTATATAACGGCAGTTATCTGTTCAGAGCGTCAGCGTATTCAGGAAGAAGTAATGTGCCTTACATTCAGGGCTTTGATATACTACAAACAGTTTAACATCCTATTCTTTGTGTTTTTGTCAGCAGCGCAGCATTCCACATGTCCCACTTTCATGTGAAACCGTTTTCATGGCTCTTGCAGTTGAGGTATACTTAACATAAAGGATGACACCACCGCTTTTGTGTGCTAACCTATAACTTCATTTAGATACTTTTATTTACAACAGCTTTTACACCCACTCAATGCACATGAAATAGCACATCTACCTGTGTTGCCCACTTTGTTGTTACAATTTATGCTGTATAACTCAGCGTCACACTGCAAGATTCCGACAGTTTTTGCGTCATATCCATATTTAGTGGCATTTCTATCCCCTTATTATGTTTTCTTTGTGCATGCGTTGGTCTACAGATAAGTTTACGGTAAAATCAGTCTTGGTCACAGTGGACAAATTGCTCAATTAAGACACCTCACAGTGACATTTTAAAGCCTAGATAAAAAGGTTAAAAATACTCCCCTTTACTGAAAGTCTATCAAAGACCTACGACAAGAGTTTGTTGTCAAGTAAGCCACCTGGGACGCAACTGATATGGGTTGCTCTGTTGTCCTGCATATTCTATCACCATGCTTTTGCTTCAACTGCGTGGATGGTTAACTGCTATTCTGTCTACAGGGTGGAACTAACTACAGCAGGTTGTTGAAGCGTTAAACACCATCAGAAACACCAGGGAGGTAGCATCACTATTATGAGTAATAAATATATCATCCCAAAGAAAGTTATACCATGTGACAGGTGAAGTGAAAGTTACATCCTTTAGGAGTCTTCTTTTGTGGTTAGGACTATATCAAATTCTAATCCGTCAGCTTGAAACTAAAGATGTGATGCTTTTCCTAAAATAGGAAGTAACAGAATTGGCCTAAATGACCTCGAAAACTGAATTTCCACACGTTTTGCATTTCCTGCTCATTCTGCTCGGTTGTCCGCTTTTCAGGGTTCTCTTATCACTTCGTCTAGCTGTGTGGAGCATCACACTGGGTGTAGATATCTAGGTTAGGCAGTATGCACATGCTATCTCAAAAAATTCCCTTGTCTTTGTTTCTCATACCACTTCAAATCCTGCTTACATGAGTATTGTTTCGAAAACTAAATCAGATGTTAGTTGAAAATTCTTGGTTGTTGTGCTAAAGGCCCTCTGCAACCCATTCGATTGACTGTAAGTCTTAGTTTAGTCGACATTGAGATGAAATCATCCATCTCTGCCTATGACGTAGACAAGCGGAAGCAGGGAATTACAGCTGATAATCTTAGAAATCTTTTGGTTGCTACCTGTTACTAAGTAGTGGAAATCATATTTATCTAGCATGATACGAATTTTTACACTCATATAACAGCTGACTTGAAGTGTTCTAGCTTCTCCATTCTACAGGTCACTAGCATCACTTGTATACCTCTGGGAAACATGTATGGAACTAGATTTTTATCTCATTGTCATTCTTGTCTAGTGTAGAAGGGAATGAATGACAACCGATGATGAGTTGATCTTCTAACACTTGTTGCAGAAGTTAGTAAGTGATTACCTGCGTGTCTGAGGCTAAACTGTTATCTAACAATATCCGCAAGGCTAGGGGGCAGCGTAACCAAAATGCTTATAGCCTGCTAAATCAAACCACTAAAGTCATGTGTTACGGTTTAAACTAGCTGTTGTGGTGACATAAATAACATGAAGACTGGGAAAGAAATGACTGACTGACAAAGTCAACGCAAAACCTCGCACACAACTGCATTGAATCAATTGTCATACTGCACAGTATTACATATAGAACAGTTGAACAGGGAAAGTTGCGTCAGGGACTGAGCAATAGTGCAAATATTCAAGGTGTAGATGTCAATGAGTTAATAAATCTTCACCAGTGAAACCGATTTTTAGCCATATTACGAGGGGTCCCCAACCACTGATTCTTCTTGTCTTGGGGACCCCAACGGGTCATTCTACCTCTCCCCACATGAATCAGGCCGACAGAAAGAGACTTCATAGACTGGTTATGGATTTAGATCTAGCCACCCTATGGTCTCTTATGACGTAATCCAACTTCCCCCGGACTAGCATGGTACTTTGCAGTGGAAGGCGGCTTGGCATGTACAATACATGTCCAATTCATCTCGGTCAACTGGGGCTCGCAACCCTGCCAATCAACTTATTTTTCTTTTCTAGCGTCGAAATTATGGCCGAAAACCATTATACTAAAGTCTAGGTGTCAGTACATCTTATTGTTTACTAGAAGTTGGTGTTTCTGAACATAGTTTCGTCAATAGTCATGTAGCTCTTTTGTCTAGATCCTTCAGGAGCGTTTAAAGATTGATCTAGTTGTTAGTTTCTCCTTTTCTAGCTGTTAGAGGGATGGTGACTGTGATGATTGGCACTTATATTAAGGAGAAACAAAATTTCCGGACTTTCTAAATTAAGTGGTTAGTAGTAAACGGTACTCGTACTTATTTTTTACTGAACCAGCCTTTCTCACCTAGTTTATGTTTAGCTCTTCCTCGTTTCCTCCGACTCTGAGGATGGAAAGATTAAAAATGGTCATTTCGGAAATCAGGTACCAATCAATGCCTACAGAAATATCAACCGACTTCATTGTGTAGTGAGTATCAGATTTCTCACAGAAAGCATTTCAAATTTCATGCTACACAGCTTATTGAGATAGTTCAATTTACGTAACTTTATAAGCTATGTAGCGAGAACCTAGTTCCGCTAAATTGTATCCTGGAAGTAGTAAGACAACATAAATTAACTGAATTTTGGCAGATTTTGAAATAAAAAAACATTTATAACTTAAACGCGTACACAGCGAGCGGTTTACAATGCATTTTCATCCAGATGCTAAAGTTCTGTTTCAAAATCGCTCTAAATATGGCTGTAAAAGCCGAAAGTTTAATGCTCCTGGACTTAATCTCTTTCAGCACATACCTAGCTCAAGTCATTCGCTAAGTAGTAGTCCGAATTCTTCAGGACAAGGCCGTTATCTCAGCGTCTGCAGCGTGGGATCCATTCGATGTCCAGCTCCGCATTTGTACGGTATCTTGTTAAAAGAATACACATATGACTGGCCAGAACATGACATTCAGCGAGCTTTTCACACGCTGGTGCACGTCTGCTTCAGTGCAAACTTCTGGTTTCGTCTTTCATGTATCGTCAGCCAGAGGCCAGGTAGGTCTTTACCTGTTAAACTATTCTTGATCTGTTGAAAATGGCGTGCATGTTAATGATAAAGTGTGGTATAACAAGGTTTACAAGATAAACTCAAGCAAATCACTAAGTTTTCTGCTCGCATGCTTCTGTCGATAATGAATCCACATATGTGAAGTCAAATGGTTTCAGTTCTGTGATTGCAATCTAGAGTTCTCTGTGTTTCTATCAGATAGCGACCCACTGATCTAGGTTGTGAAATTCTTTCTTTAGCCACTTTACTTATTAAGACTGTCAATATCTACTTAAATCAGCTAATGCCGCCAGATACACTGGATATTATAAAGGGAAAAGTTGAATACAATTACTTTGATGCCCTTCACTTCTGAGTAAGCAGAACGTGGTACTTGTTTATATCATCAAACAGCTGTATTCAACATTGCAGGAAATCGAAAGAAGGAAAATGGAAGCAGAGGATCGGAAGAAGTAGACACGATTATCAAGATTATGATTAAACTGAGGTATTTTCTGAGAAGACTGAAAATTCAGACCAGCTTTAACCTTGTCGCTTTCGGTGATAAGCATCTCACAATATAGAGTTTATGGTGTAGGACCTTTTACTCCTACTTGAAGAATATCTGTTTTTAAGGACCATACATTTAGTTTCATGTGTTAAGCCAGAAGGTATTCTGTCGTAGATGTTTTAGTGCTTTTTATGTGTTCTGAGATATAGTGGTAGATCTCAGAAGTTCTGATGGTGTCTTAGCTTTCCAAGGCTAATTCTAACTGTACAAAGCATCTTATTTAGATCGTCAAAATCGATATGAGGTGTGACTTTACCGCGCAGCTGTTCTTTTTGCCACACCTGACATCAGAAAATCGACATAGAAGGCAACGAAATGAGTGATGAAGTAGAGGTCGTAGACTGTCATAAAATAAAAAAGAAGAGCGACTGGAGCGAACAACAGAATATGACGTAGAGCTACCCTCCACTGAGAATCGTCGTTACCTAGGTCCTCATTTGAACTGACATTCAAGTTGCTTCTTTTCTTACTTTTGGCCAAAACCTGCAGGAATTGGTTCATGTGCATTTCTTGCTCTGGATTAGGCTACTGAGAGACACTGATCACTTTTAACACTATTCTGGCGGTCGCTTATGCTTTCTACAGCAAATTAAAATTATGCCAAGATTCTTCATAGCGATTAACAATACTGTGTCACGAAAACTGTCCAACCAGTTCCTCTTCGAAGTCAGTCTAAGTATCCACATTTTCGAGGTGAGCTGGTAAAAGTCTTCCAGTCACGGTCTTTCTACGTTCATCTTGGCGATACATATGTGTTATTGGATCAACTGGTCGACACTGGCTAGGGATGTTACCAGGAGGAAATAACCGTTTTTCAGCAAGCTTCTCCAGTGATAATTGGCAGTAATATGGTCTGTCTATATCCACCGCTGAGATAAGGTGTATAGTTGATACGTTGCATTGTGTTTCTCCTTATGCGTAGAACTCAAGATGGTTAGAAATGGGTGTTTGTTTAGGAGACGTTGTAGCAGGTTATCCTATAAGTAATACCTAATTACCCTTCTATCTACCTCAGCTTTTACTGTTTGCTCTCTTAGGTCACTCAATACGGGAACCACGTCTGAGCGTTTGACGTTTATTCAGAGGTTGGGCAGTTATTATTACTAATCCCCATTGAGTAGCTACCAAAATTGCAAGTACATGCCTCTTTTTCATTATTGTTCTACTTCCATCGATAATTCACATCTGATATCACTACTTATGAAAAGTCGCTTTGCACATCCTTGAATATTCATCAGAATTAATGGTCTTCACTGTTAGCACAACTTATTTAAAAGCCCACCAATTTTATTTCCAAGAATTTGAAGAATAGTTATTCTAATAATCTCCGTTCTTTTAGGTGTAGATCCTCAGTCGGAACTGACTGTCCGTCTTTTCCTGAGAAAGATATTCTTGGACCCTCTCTCTCTACCACAAGAATACTCCTCAACCAGCACAACTTCTTCATCACCTGCTTCTGTTTCTTATGAAAATCATCATTTGGTATCAGATACCAACTCTGTTACTAATGAATACGATTTAACACAAAATTCTCAAGAAAGTCAAAATCTTTCTGAAGCGTCTAATTCTCATTTCGATGGGACATCGGATCAACTTGTGTTGCTCAAAAATCTACCTGTAGAAACAACATCCTCCTACCTCTCTTCATCTTACACTGGTGATGACAGTCTTGCAGTTGGTGTAATAGAACCTGCTGAATTACTTTGGTTAGTTTAATAGTTTTGAGATATGACTCATATAAGTGCTTCTGGTTTATCTGTTGGAATTTTATATGAAAGTTTATTCACTTGAAATCTCCATACTCCTTTTATTGTAGTTTCGTAAATTCAAGGTTTTACATGAGAAACAGCTTAGTCGTAATGTCCGCATGCTAATAAGACACTCAGTGTTTCGTAACTTACAGGAATAAAAATCACTTGAAATAAATCTGTGTTGAATTAAAGCTATCTACCTGAATTCAGTTGCTTCTTAGCAATAGTTTGCATCTACACCCTAAACGAATTCGGTATTTATTATTTCTAACGTACGCTTGTCCTACGCTTAACCTGTTATTGGTTGGTAGCCTTTACCTACTTGTAATAACAATGGAAAAACTTTATGTGTTTGAGAGGAATAAGGTTCTTACAAGTTTGATGGACGGGAGAGTGTGAATTATAACACTGAACAGGATGTACAAAGAAACAGATGATTGGCATATTGCATAGGATTTTCAAGTATATTGCGAAATAAAGATGAGAATGGTGTTCCCGGAGTGCTAATACTGAAATCAATTTGCTACCATATACAGTTCGGTTTCCTATAGTTTAATATTGGTCAGTTTTACCGATTAGATTTGGTATTGAGATTATTGTTTGCTGATTTTGCTTCAAGGTTGTGCTGTATCAACCTTGTTAAGTCTAGTGAGACAGTGAACACGTTGGAGAAACACTAGTCAACATTATCCAAAATGTATCCTGTGATGAAAATGTCTCGAAGACAGCTGCATTATTTTGTTTTTTATCGTTTAATCAGTTAAGTTTGTTTGTTAAAAATTAATTAAATAGTGCAGTTTTTAGTGTTGCAGAATGAACTGCTCTATTATTTCTACCGGGATATCAGTCTCTCAAGATACTTTCTGCAGCGAAATGTTCGCTGAACTTATACACCGGAAGATGCTGTCTTATCATTGATTCTTGGTTGACTGTGTCATTGTTCATTGATTCCAGCCGATCACAAATGGGTATTTAATTTGCACAGATAGATTTACACCCTTCTAATTGGATATACTACTTATTTCTTGAAGTAATGTTTCATTGTATTCATAATGCAATTTTTGTTACTCAGTGTTGCCACGGGATCCACATCACCATCTTCAGCGCCAACAACTGTTCAACCTTCATCATGCTATTATGGTATACCCATGCCAAACAATTCATGGCCAGCTTCAAAGAATTTGATGAGGATTTTACGCTCCTTCTCTCATAACCACCAGGCTAGAATTCTATTCATCTTATATGGACCAACCAACAGGGGTAATTTGTACTATCTACTTTTATTTTCAGCCTTATATGCATATTACTAAAGGTGAGAATGTAGGTAGATAACATAAATGCAATCCAGTTGCTTGATGTAGGAGTAACAGGATGATGTATCGCAAGCCATTGATGCTTATGGCGCTGGTGTGTAACCAGAAACGCCCTGATTGTAGTGTCTGGTAGATTTCATCGTGAATTTCATTCATCTGAAAGCTTGATTTATTCTGGATAAGAAGTTTATATTCACGTTCACATATGATATTTAGGCTTTCTGTCCTCTGTTATGTGTTACTGTTCAGTTACCAGCAGGATAAAAGAAATGAGTACATGAAATAACATAAATGCAAACTGATTCCTAATCAACCAAATGAACCTATGTTTAAGACATTGATAAAATCTTTAGTATAACATATTTGTATGATTGAAACTACATTTTCTGATCATCCTGGTATACCTTTCACTGGATCACTTGCACATCCGTTATATTTTTCTCACCTTCAATATCTCTAGCTATTAATTATTTTTGAGAATTGGAAATCAACTGTAAGTTGTTTTGGGTGATGTATGTGTGTTGACAGTATCTATTGTTGTACGCTTTCTAGCTGACAAACATTTTTATATCTGTTGAGTTTTCTATCAATAAGGCGTTCGAATCTCTCGTCTCATGCGTACAGTGAGTCAGTTATCATCTTGAATAGGCAAGAGCTGAGTAGAAACTACAGCATTTTTAAAGTACTGGGATAGCCTTGTTGTAGTAAGAAAATGATCGTGCATAAGTGTAAAAATTGGACACTGTTGTGTAATAGACATATTTCTAGACCTAATATATTGAAGAAAATGTATGAGAATCATTTATAATGTTCAAGGTAAACAAAAATACCTGTTAATGGGACTATCTGAGATAGCTGGGGTTTTACAGAACAGAATTACTTATACACAGTGATGATTAGCGGTTTTCATTTCACCATGTTTCGGAAATGTTTGTATTCATTACAATGGTTATGTATACATTAACAAATAAAATGTCATGAAATTATGCAGTAACTGATAGCAATTTATTACAAAAAGATAAGGATTGTATATATACATCAACAGCGGGCTACGCTCGATACTGAAGATCAGATGGCTAGAATAATAAGCATAAGCAACAAGGAACACTGACCCGGGAACGAACCAACCAACAACCTATTGCCCAACAAATATGTAAAGAAAGTGGAGATGGATTGGACATTCACTGAGAAAGCCAACTGGGGACATCACGCTCCAGGCCAGGCACTCGAGTGGAACCCAGATGGGAAACGACGAGTTGGGCGTCGGTGCTGAGGGTGACATGGAGGAGATCATGTGAGGAAGAAATGAAAGCTTGTGGGCATTCTGGCGCCAGGCTGAAGAGACTGCAGAGAAGAGAGTGGATTGGAGGCGTACTACTGAAGCCCTAAATTCCACCAGGAACCCAAAGGAAAAATAATAAAATTATATATATATATATATATATATATATATATATATATATATATATATATATATATATATATATATCTGGCGATTAAAGCACCACCAGTCATCAAAACATTTCATCTGTAGAACTCGATAATAAACGTATGTTGTTAGAGAAAATCTGTTTTTAGTGAAAAACGGTATACAAAGCAAGATGTAAATGCGACCGTGTATCATGACGAGGATGTGATATATCTGTACAATAAATCTCACATGTACGAAATACTTTTTCTTCTGGTCCTGTTAGCAAAGACTGTCTATAAATATACTATTTTAGTAGTAAAAGGCAATTCTACAATAAACAATGAAAATGAAATTGTTCAGAAGAAGAATCTCCATTTTGACTGGATACAGTCACACTAATAATAACAATGATAGTAATAATAATGATTACAACCTTTTAATTCCTTTTTTACTGTCAATACTGTCACCAACTGCCAGGGAGGCTTATGTGGCGAATAATGTGCGAATATACAGCTAGAGATTCTGAACAATTATTTGCTTGTTTTGGTGATCTTGGCAGTGTGCTAATGCACATGTTATACTGCAATTTATGGTCATCTGAAGATATAAGAAAAATTCTTGACCATATAATTACAACCCCTGATGACTGGTTGGTAGAGAATGTAGCATGTTTAATGCATACATCAGGTATGTTTAATATTTTTCTAAAAATGTATTACTAATTTAAAATCTAACTACACATAACCCAGTCATCTATCAGTAGAATCGACTGCTTTCTCAGATGGGAATTATGAAATATTTTTTGAAATTAGTATACTCATACACACCATTTCAGTGGCTTCCGTAGTGATCAATTTTGTTTTTGACGTTGGGCGTTGTTGTTTGATGTAATGGATAAACGGAGTGTAGGATGTAAAGTTGTTGGATTAAAAGTAGTTGCTTTTTGGTTATCATATACTGGTGCATCAAAACTCACCCCATTGATGTGTTGGTAGAGGTCACATAGATCGAGATTATCAGATATATAAGTTGAAGCAAATAATCTTTCATACGCCTGTATGTATGTATTGATTGGTCACGGGTGTGCAGCCGATTTTATGTTGTCTAGTCCTGAGTGCAGACCGAATCCTATCAAACGTAGTTGCAATGTGACCACCAAGCTAGGAAGCTCTGCATCGTGGTGTACATTAGTAGATGTTAGTTGGTTGGAGGCAATCAGCAGGAAGCCCTGGACCTAGGTTTCGTGCTTTTTGGCACTCGTCAGCAAGGCGTTTCTGCAACCACGATGGAACTGACGTCCCGCCTGATATTCGAACCCGCGTCACCCAGTGTTGTAGTCAGCGGCTTTACCACTGAGCCATTCGGGCCGCGACTGACCTCCTGTAGGACTGACTTACATGTATTGGAATTCGAAACAATTAGTCCCTTTTTATGAATTTGGATAATGTAATTAGAAGACGTAGATTAGCTGAAAAATGTGATGTATTTGGGCCATACATTTCAAACAATCTGATCACACATTTACTTGTCAAGTCAGTTAATATATGAAAACTGGAGGTGAGGCAAGGACAAATATGACATAAAGGAATTCAATAATAAGAAAGATAATGAGAGGAATAAAAGATAAGATTTGAAAACAGTCTTGGTAATACGATAAAATAAGTACTACCAAGGTGGGCTTAATGTAAGGACAAACTGTTTTTGCACACACAATGGGGGGTTAAATTTATTTATGGCTAGCACCTCAATAAACTTAAGTATACGCCCCTGACAGTTTCTGTACAAAATTGTAAAGGCCGTTTTGATATCGATCCTGTGACTCTTATCAATGATATGTTTTGCAATGGATAATGATGGGTGTCTGCCATCTACGCTTATCAATGTTTGTGAATCCAGCTGCTTTCGTAGCCATTTTGGAATATATTCCCCTACCCTCAAGTGAATATCACGATTAGTCCTCCCTATGTGTGTTTGTCCACACACATATGTAAATTGATAAACGCAGTTGGATGTGACACAATCATTTATACAGCGTTGAGGTCTAGGTAGCAGCAGGTGCTTGGTCTTCTCAACTATGATAAGCTTAGCTGCATAGTACGTTTTGCTAACAGCAGACTTTAACCTTCGTCTTAATATTATGCTGTTAGATTCTCCTCTGTATGGTAACGCGATATAAACACGTTTCTTTGAAATAGGGTACAGATTAGGCTTGAATCCTTGCTGATTTTTGCAGCGGTTGATGAACTTCAATAGATATCCATTTTCCATTGATGTTCCCGTTAGTATTTTGAAATCGTCATCCATTGAGTCATCTTTAAAAATACGCTGGATCGTTTTAAATAGGCAAGTTACCAAACCTCGTTTGTATTGGGTTGGACATGTATTGATCGGTCACGGGTGTGTAATCAATTTCATGTTGTCTAGTCATGAGTACACACCGAATCCTATTGTCGAGGTTGCAGATTCACCTTGCTGATGATTGCCAAAAAGCACGAAATCTAGGTCCAGGGCTTCCTGCCAATTGCCTCCAACCAACTAACATCTACATGTATGTATGTTTCATGCATGCACTTCACGACTTCGCTAAATTGTAAAAGTTATCAAACATGTTTTATTCAAAACCGAATAGCGATTACATTTAGCATACTCGTGTCCTTTACCTTTGAATAGTAATACAAGAGTAACTGAAGATTTATAATTTATCATGCTTGACTGTTGCTTCCTTCCAGGAAATTTCGATATTCTTTTTGCCTCAGTTTGTTTATATTCTTGTGGTAATTTTGTACTGTTTTTTAAAATGTCATATTTTCATAGGTTTGTGTTAAAATAAACTAATTAAATTTTTGCTTTAAAGTTTTCTACGAAATATCAACAAACATTCAATATGGAATATGATCCAACTCATTGTTGTATCTTAACTAGCCTACAATCATAAGTCAATATTAAAACTGTATTTTAGCAATCAGTGTTATATAGTCAGCTGATTGGAGCCACTGAACTTAAATTTTAGATTTGTTGTCATTCGATTTGGTGATTCCCTAACAACTAATCCTTAAGTTGTTGAGTGGTGGTGATTAAGGAGCTTGGGTGACAATTCTGAAAATCGACTACAAAAGGGTACAAATGTATACTCTTTATTTTCAAGTTATTAAATATATCGTTTGATATGATAGCTATTAGTTATTGAGTCAGACACTTGAAACCTTCGACAACTTGTAGATGCCTAATATGGATTAACTGTATGTCTGGAAGCAAAATAACTTCGTTGTTTTCATAACACATTGAGCCGATATATTTGATACGAGGTGGGGTAGAAATAAAATACAGAGGTTTATGTAGTTGTCAAAGGAAATATTATGTGAATAAAGAGACAATGAGATTCCAAGTCATTATATAGGTAAGTTTTGATATAATCCCGCCGTTTTTATAAAATCAAACAAGATTTCAACAGGAGTTATGGCATACATAGAGAAACATTCAGAAAAAGTTTGTTTCGACTTTCTAAACACTTGGGATCATGTCAAAATTTAGTTACATATTGGTGAAATCAAACTTGGCACTCCAACTCTTCGAAACAAACATGGACTGGATATATACGATGAAGCAAATTTTTGTATCAAAGACTTTTCCAACATTTGATATATAAAAATAGAAAAATTATTTTCTTCATAAAAAATTTATGTTGACTCACAGTTCTGGACATTCGATCTCCAATTGAAGGATTGAAAGTCCAAATCCCAATCCATCTGTCGAGGCTTGGATAGACAGGCAGCATGATTAGACATCACACAGCAAGAAAAATTTGACTGGCTGACACAATCAACGTAGAACTTGGCACAAAAGTGCATTGATTCACGTTGTCACACTACACAGTAGTACAGGTAGATACTAAAATAGTGATATCAAAGTAGACACAGTTGTGTCAGGGAGTGAACAGTCTGAAGAGCAAATATTCAAGATGTTGATGTCAAGAAGTGAGTACATTTAAGTTATTCTGACCGATTTTAAGGCATATCACCAGGACTCCTGAATCAGTGATTCGTTTCGTCCTGCTGAACCTAACTGGGCAGTCTTCCTCTCCTATACGTCTCAGACAAACAGCAAGATAATTTATGGACTGCTTCTACCTAATGTGTTCACCCCAAACCCTCATCCAACCTGATTCAACTTTCGCTGGTCTGGCAGGTTGAAGTAGGCAGTAACGCGGACTGCTCACTACCTGTCCAAGGCATCTCAGTCGACTAAGGTTCACAACCTCATCAATCGACTTGGGTGTTTTGCATAGTACCCCTCGCTTTGAATCGACACTGCTCACTCGGTGATTTCATGAAACACCAGAAATGCTACGAATATAGCTATGACCACAACCCTACACCTGGCTTACGCTTCCTACTTTCAACGGCTATATATCACAGAGGTATACCAGAGCAGAACGGACTGCAGAGCAGCATATCGATTCCTTAATAGATATTCGGATATCTCACCAGTCGGCGCCACAGGCGACGCTTGCTGCCATATAACAAACAAACCTTCTGTATCATAGTAGACATTTCGTAAGCCATTTATAGTCACACACAGCTACAACACCTCACGCTCAACAGAGTCGAATGCCACATTCAACTCAAGGAATATGACACATGTCGGCTTCTGGCCTGTAGGTATACCTGTGTTCCTGGACCTGTTGGAGGGTGAAAATACCATCTGTGCACCCTCATCTAAGTTTGAAACCTATCCGGTTTTCGCGAGTTTGTGGCGGTTAAGAGTCGGATAACTATGGACTCTGGGATCTTGGACACAATATTAGTCAGACTGATTCAGCTATGATCGTGATAGGAAGAATTCTCTCCATTCTTGTAGACTTCGATATTCAGTGATGTAGACCAGTCTGATGACACCACCTCTGATTCCCATACACCACTCACTACCTTGGTCACTTTAATCAGCATTCTCCCACATCCATCGTTGGAGATTGCTAGGCTCCAATGCTTTGCATCGTTTCATGTTTGCTGCAGCTTCACCAACTCCAAGGAGAGTTGGAGGACCAGCATCTACATGCCATCCGGGCTCAGGCTGAATGCTGGGTAACTGAAGTCTTGCTGAGGACCAGGTGAACTGTGCATCAAAGTGTACTGCTCAATGTTCTAGCTACCTGTCCTGACCGGTTGTCAGTGTCCCATCCTTTCGAGGACGGTTCACTAACCATGATCTTCTTCTTGCCACTATGCTGAATATGCCCAAATGGATTCCGAGTGCTACCCAACGTTGATGCTCTCCTCACCTCTCTCACTCTCGCTCTCACCACACATCATTGCTCGTGGTCATTACAAATAAATACTCTTGGTCAAGTGAGGTTTGAGTCGCTCTTGCTCTTCATCGTGATCAGAGTCATCCGGCTGGAACCAGTCTTCTCGTATGAATCAGTTCGAATGATGTTGTGGGAATGCAATGACATTTGCTAACCTTCGCATGTTGCCAATTGTCTTTACCGCTGATTCTATGGAAGACTGAATATCACATCAGATTTACTCAGGATGAGAGTGACTGTCATGTTCAGACAAACATTTAGTTAACTGCTCTCCTAATGAGTACTTGGTCTCTTCATCTTCCAATCAATCATGGACAGGTTTGGCCGTTGCCTCTCTCCTGTGACCAGTCAGGTTCAGAAATATACGGGGATCCCCCACCAGTCCTATCCAACGATGGCTAATGTCGATTTGGTCTGTCTTTATCCATCGTTGGTTTGATGTCGGTGGACATCATTTGAGACAATTTCTCTTTCTGTGCTTAAACTCACTGATGGTGAGAAACAAGTGATTGTTGGAACAAAATTGAAGAGATGAACTGCGTTGTCGGCTCGCTGACAGGGAACTCTGTAAATACCTACAAGATGTCTTTCAAATCGGCTCAGCTTCTCTACTTCAGCGTTAAAGCTACCTGCCATTATAATAACATCTGAACATTTTGCTTTCTCTAGCAGAATTGGCAACATCTCATAACATTAATTCGAACTCCATTCGGTAGGTGAATAGATGGAGATTACGAATAGGTAACGCTTAGTCTCACAACCCTTTCTAGTTCTTACTGCTGTCACACCCCAGCCAGTCAGCAGTACGACTTTCCCTTCGGGCTTTCATCATAGCATAGCGATTTACACTTCAATTTTAACTGATTTTCATCTTACTACTATCCAACAGATTGTTACTGAATGGTGTGAAATCAGAAAAAGCAAGCATTCTATCTGTTGTAGTCTGTTAGATCATTGTGAAATGCAAGTCCGACCACCACGTTATACGCATCACTCCACATTACAACAATACCGTCGCTTTCCCAATACTGTGAAAACTGTGAACATCCTTCATTTGTCAGAAAACTGTGGAGAGGCATTTAGACTTATCAAGTAAATTGGTGCAACAGGTCAATGGTTGTCGAGACTACAGTGGCGAAGGATGCCTCCATGATTCGCTCGCAGAAAAGATGACCAGGATGATGGGCTAGACACTTCTAGAAACGGTTCAGCTGGCCTGTGCATACTATTTCAGTCTTCGCTATTCAATCGGATCCTAAATGAAAGGTTGAGAAAGTGTGTCCAATACATTCAGAATTCGAAGACGCTTAAGTAACTCGAAACGTAGAAGAGCAGTAGGTGACACTGTCTAGTCCCAGAGGTAATTAAGGACGGAGGTTGAGGACATTTATTCAAGTTAGATGAAGTGTTAGCTAGTACGTGAAAGTGAGACACGATCCCTTCTGATTGGTGTTAACCACTGGTTGTCTGCCTTCAAGAAGAGGGCAGAGTCATCTTGTGATAAACACGGGAAGCCGTCTGGTGAATGTAATATCTAAGATTTTAGGTTCGGTGATTGTTAGCCGTCCAGGTGAAGCTCGCAAAAAGTAAACCGGAGAAAAAAACCAAGAAGGTTTTAGATCTGATAGTGTGTTCATGGACTAGAAATTCACGCCCGACCAGGTTTTTGAATACCGGCTCGCCAATCATCTTCAGACACGTGCTGGATTTTATAACATGAAGGCTGTATTAGACTTCGCCAACCGAGAGCTATTATGGTAGTGTATCTCATTGTGAAACAGGTGTCACCTTATGAGCAACCAGAGACTTAGTGGCATGCTCCAACAAACTCATTGCTGTAGGCACACCACTGAGTTGTAGGGCACTTCTGGATTATATGCCAGTGAATAGCCGTCCATCTGTTATTTGACTGAAGGGATCCATAAAATCTAGGAAGGGTAGTGAGACCAGTCGTTGCCTATTCATAATCTCCATTTACATAACTACGGACTGCAGTCCGTAGAATGTAAAGGAATTCTATGAGAAGCTGTCAACTTTGCTACATAATCCATACCTTCACACAAAGTTATAATAGCGGATGACTAGCTCTTCAGCAACAAAGTTGGGCCAAGTGGAAACATATCTTGGGTGAGTTTACGGAATCCTATACCAAGGAACCGACAACGGTGGTTGTTTCTTGCAGTTTTGTCTCAACAGTTACCTGCTTTTGGCCATCACTGGCTAAAAGTACCATCAGGAAAACTGTCTGACATGGCGTCTACCGACATCAAACCAAATATAGACACAGATGGATCATATTACTATAAACCATCCTTGGAGCGAAGCGGCGGAAGATTGTCGTTCCTTCTGGAGCATCTATTTGAACTGAGGCCACACGCTAGTTAGTGTTTGGGTATATATGCTTCTTGTTGGTTGCAGAATAAAAGCGGACAGCTGGGAAGCCCGGGTGTGGGTGCTGGATCAGAAAATGAAGACGCGAGCATTTCTGTATGCTTCACAAAGAACTTGCCTATTGTTTCATTCCGTTTCCCCTCCCCACTACTTCCCACCACTTTGACTACTTTCTTCCGCATTTATCTGTTTTATCCCGATGTTTCGAAACTTGATGTACGCATGTCAGTTGGGATGACGTGAACGGTTGGGCAGTAATGCTAGGTCCCATACCGATGGTGACCTAGACGCAAGTGATACTACGGAATAAGGTGTAGTCTAAAAAGGGTGAACAGCTGGTAAATTTCTGTTTCTACATTTGAAATGCGGTGACACATGAAGTCCCATTTTAAATATTTCTTAGACCATTGTTTTTTCTATTTGTTGATGGCCTAGCTTACGTCATATTTACCAGTTATGTTGTGCGTTAGCTTTAAATTAGTCGGCGGAGCATGAAGAAAGATTGTTTGTCTACACCATGTTATCTGATTGTTACATACTTAAATAAGTATTGGTGGTTGGTGACCAGTAATAATAATGGGACCAGGTATATTAAAACCTCGTGACAGCTATGTTGACCCAAGAAGTTATCCTTAGCCACTTGCATAGGAGGCGGCGTCAGGATTTGTAGATGATGAAATGTAGGCAGAAACAAAAATGCTCAAGGTAAATTGTGCCATTCTAGAAAGATATCAGAATGATGGTCAAGTTTGCTTCGGAATAGATCTTTCTGTTCACCTCTACTACTGAGTTACAGATATGGTAGTTAGATTATCGTTTGTGGATCACCACTATCTTTGTAGCGTTATTTTAGTGGTGGGACTGCCATTAGAGTGATGAACATCATACAGAGCGTGTTAATTGGGACTGGTAAGTCATTTATGATTCTAAACAGTCAGCTACCACGGTGGTTGAGATGTGCATCACGCTTGCAGCATCGTAGTCAGACATGAGGCACTATGGTGGAAAATATTCTCAGTCTTACAAGTGACATGCCTTACGGTTCTGATGATAAATTCCAGGGGATGATGTTGCTTTCCGGCCAATAGAAATAATGCTTTAGACCAGCGCCATACAGGTTTCGGTTACATCAAAAAACTTCCTTCAAACTGCCAGTGTAGCTTAATCTGTCATCCTCTAGTTTGCTCGCTATTATCATTATTATTATTCTCTCGTCTCGTTCACCCCCTTAAGGAGTTTTCTTGTGTCGCTTTTGTTCTGCTTCAAACCAAAGATGATGGAAAGCAGCGGTGTCTGAAGGCTTGCCACCAGAAATTTTTAGGCAAGAAGTTAGGGACTTATTGAGTAGAGTAACGGAAGTACTATGTATGGGAATCAAATGTAGTCTCGATGGACTGGTCTACTCCACTGAGTATAGTAGTTAATGAGACAGGGGAGCAAGTCAGTTATTTCTTCTAATTACTGTGTGCTGGACTATGTATATAACTGTCATCATGACAGGTCACTAAACCAGTTGTTGATATAGATCCCATAGATAATTTCTTTCTGAAATTTTTCCTGATGACATTGAAAGAATGACAATGGGAGCGTTATGATTAAACCATCCGGCTCAGAGAACACAACTGCAAAATCGAAATGTCTCCATGTTACCTAAACAACTGCCACTAATCTATTCCCTATTATCATATCCTGCATAGGTATGTCTCAGCCTGCAACGGAGTGTGGTATCTAATTCTCAGGCTGTCATAACAAATAAACACAGAACAAGTTTTTCATCTGACTTTACAAAACTGAAACTCACCCTAGTAAATATACGGATATTTTGGCTATTTTTCCCACTTATCATATGTACGGGTGTACTTTTTCTAAATGAGATCATCATTTTGAAGTTGAATAATATTCAATGAAATTAGGCTTTAACACTGTGAACATTTTATTGTGAAATGGTTCCACTGTTTCGACTAGTGTAATTTGTTTTTAGGAGTAAACTCATGTTGCATCACGGTATTCATCTCTTTTGCATAAGATCATAAGAAGAGCTCAACCTCATCCTATCGAAATTTTGGTAGAGTATATCATACAGTTTGACTTCTGTTGCTTGGAAACTATTAAAGGATAGTCCTCGAAACGAATTTAATGCTTATTGACACTCGTTAACAACTTGCGTCTATAGCTTTAAGACAATTTATATGGAAGCAAAATATATGGATATAACAGTGCCATCGCATGAAGTTCTGAGTACTATTTTGTTGGTGTTATGTCCCCTGAGTTGGATGGTTTAGTCGTGAAACTTTCATTGCTATTCTAGGCAACATCAGGACACACTTCGGAAAGAAGTGAGCTATTGAAATTTCTCTACAGTTGGCTTAGTGGCTTGTCTTGATGACCCATATGATTGGTTATTTCTGTTATAAACTTGTCGATGTCTGCACATGTATTTCTATCAACTGCCTTGAGCTCTGGCCTTCTTGTTGTTCCTCATGTTTCTTCTCGGCTGGTAGATTGGATCAATATCAGTTGATCGTTGGATGGCCTGAGTGCCAAGCTTTGAAAAATTCTTTGACATTCTTGTATTTTCTCCATCTTTCCTGTATGGGAGCTCCCAAAATAACATCTCATTCTATTCTAAATTTTGTTCTTTTTATCGACCAACTCATAAGACGAAAAAATTATTTGCATTTTAAAATTACATCGTTTTCACTCATCCACTCTGATATCTAACTATGATATGACTCCGTGCACTTAAAAATGAAGTCCGTATCTCCACTTTGCTTAATTCTTTCTTTTTACAGGGCCAAAAATAGCATGCCTATCTTTAACAGATAAGGCCAGTAGTGGGAAAATTAATGAGGTTACTCTCATTATTACTTCATTATGCATAGTTCGGGTAAGTAAATCAAAAATCCATTTTAATGCCACATCAAGATAAAACGTTTTTCCAAAGGTGGGTAAATTCATGTAAGTGGGCAGCATTGGGAGTTTTCACTATTCGAAGTTCTGTGAACGTGTTTTGACCCATAGTGATCGAGTCAAGAAGTATCTTGATGTGATGTTCTGTTGGTTTGCATACCAGGATAACCTATCCCTACTTAAAAGTGTGTTCTTAAGCATTGTTTCATGCTACGCACTTCAGTTGGTGAGTGTTATGCAACCAAAATTAGTCAACATTATGTCAATAATTAACCTGGCAGGGATAACGACATATTAAGGTTGATGGATGTTTGCATATCGGTGATCAAATGAAAAGACGTTGCACCAACATATGAAGTCGATGACTGATTATCTGAACTATGAAAAAAAGTTAATACCTACTAGTAGGGTCCCGTTTACAACTTTTATTCACATCTTTGCTTAAAGCTTCATGAGTTCATTTTCACTCTTAACTCACTGCGTACAAACATCTTAATAAGGTTTTTAGGATGTTTTTTCATTCAAAGATTAACTGTTGTAAGATACGAATTCATCAAGTTGTTCTACTTTTATCGTTCGGATTTCCTGCAAGGATTTCATACTTTCGTTCCAACTGGTGACTGGCACAATGAATATGCCTGTAATTGTAGTTTTAGATCTGATGTTATTGTTTCACACACTTAAAATAGGCCTAGATTACTTTCAATCATTCTTATTGTTATAACACTCTTTAGTTCAGTTTTCCACTCAATTCCACTGATGTGACAAAAAAAGTTTGCCCTCCTTATGCAGAATTCATCAGTGATTTACTGGTCAACTGCTTATTTGTTGTATGATAATAATCTGCGTTACAGATCACTTCAAAGTGATTGTTGCAGTCTGAAGCAGCACAAAAGAAGAATGATACAATAAGCTCTGAATAAAACAGAAAGTATTGATAAATTTGTACTGCTGGTGCATTATGGTGGTGGAATAAAAGCCAATCATTGTCTTGAATACTACACATCTTTGTAAATTATTTCCAGGACTTCAAAACTGGAAAGCTTTATTGGTGACAAATTCAAGTACTCGCCAAAAAGTTCGAAATAAATTTTGTGAGATTTAAAACAACAACCTGTCTCTTGAAATCAGTAACACAAACCATTGCCATAACCCTAAATCATAACTTCACCTTATTTGAAAACAAATATTTCCAGTGCGCTGTATCGAATAGGATTCTTACACTGTTTCTATATATATATTTACAAACATAGAACTTCACACAGTAGTTTGGATCCCTACACCCTGAAACTGTACAGAGAAAAAAATGAGGGACAATATGGGAATGAGAGCCAAATCACTACCTGGCTGCCCACAACTCGGTATGTGGAACGTGCCTCGAACTCGCCACCTAGTGGTTCATGGTTCTTTCCTTAAAACACAGCTCCATATGGATATGAACTAGATAAGAGATATGGATGCAAAGATAACTAAAAGTTATGCATTAGTTAAATTCAGATGAAGATGAAGAATGAGTCTGCTTCTGCTAGTATGATTGATTTAAGACAATAATGACCTTGTTTGGCCAATTAACAATTCTTGCAATAAAATTACCCATGTTGAAGCTAACTACAGTTCACTATACCGCATACACAACCTCGCCTGGTTGACTAGTTCACTAGTTACCAGCCGGTTCTAAGCCCCCATAAAGAGGGAAGGTTGGGTATAGGGCTAGCAACCCTACCCCGGAAAACAAATCTAACCGCTAAAGAAACTTCAAAGTACAAACGAAATATAAAAAATAATAACAAAATTATTCCTCGCTGGAATCGGAGAGGCGAAATGACGCCGATTGGTGAAAGCCTGACTTCGGGAAGCCAATTGGCCGATGTGTCTTCTCTCCCTAGATGAAAGCGAAAGTAAACGTGGGGACATGGAATGTCCGCACGATGTTTGAACCCAGCAAGGCAGCCCAGATTGCGAACGAGATGAAGAGGTATCACACTGAAGTGCTTGGGATATGCGAAAGCAGATGGAATGGGAGTGGACTCTCAAAACTGTCAACTGGAGAATCAATAATCTACTCAGATATTTTCACCCAGACGACAACCACGAGCACACTGAGATTTGGAGTGGCTATCATGATGTCACCAAGAGCATAGAAGGCTCTCATGCAGTGGGAACCAATCTCCTCCAGGATCATGACAGCAAGATTCAACTCAAAAGGAAGGAAGGTCACAATCATACAATGCTACACTATGCTATGCACCTACAAATAATGCAGAGCAAGAGAAAAAGGAGGAATTCTACAGACAACTTCAATCAACACTGGACAAGACACCACTCAAGTTGGCGATATCAAAATTCTAATTGGTGGGGTGACATGAATGCCAAACTGGGAGGGGACAACACAGGAAGAGAACTCATCCATCATGGGTCGAGAAGCGTTAGGTGAAATGAACGAGAATGGAGAACTGTTTGTAGATTTCTGTGCATTCAACGATTTGGTGATTGGAGTGAGGCAGTGTGTTCAAGCACAAGGATATCCACAAAGCGAGCGACATGGATATCACCAGACACCAGGACAAACTAAAAATCAAATCCACTTTATCTCAATCTCAATATGAAGAAAGTGGAGGCGCAGCTTACTGGACACAAGATCAGATGAAGAAAGGGAGCAGATGTAGGTTCACACCACTCTCTGTCTAGTGCAGGGAACCTTCCAAATCAAGTTGAAAGCCTTCAGGGAAGCTAGTGATAGACCATAGTTTAAGTATAACACTCGGAAACTGAAGGATGAAACTACAAAGGAAATCTTCACGGCAGCCATGAAGAAAAAATGGGAGATATCGAGGAACATCCCTGAAAAAACCTGTGTGGAAGAACACTGGAAGTCTTTGAAAGAGATGTGGAGAGAAACCTGCACAGCCATATTAGGAAGGAAGAAGAAGCGCCGAGACAAGGAATGGATCTCAATGGATACATGGAAGCTGATAGATGAGGGAGAGGAGGATGGTGAAGCAGAAGACAAACAAGTGCAGAGATGAACAACGAGAAGAGGAACTGAGTACAATGTATAAAACAATACAGTCGACAAAGAAGTGAAGAAGAGTGCACGCAAAGACAAAAGACACTTCTACGACACATCGGCAATGGAAGCGGAACAGGCTGCTTCAGGTAGGAGAGACAGAGACCTGACAACATTGTATCGAATAACCAGGTTACTATCTAGACTGGAAGAGATCACCAAAACACAGATGAAACCAATAAAGGATGATAAAGGAAATCTAATTACGAAAGAAGAGAAACAAAGGAAACGATGTGCCAACCACTCCAAGAAGCTCTTGAATCGACCACCACTCGCACTTCGTCCAGAAATACCACCTGCAGCCCAGCCACGGAACACAAATCTCCCAACAATGATCGAAGTCCTGGACGCCATGTAGCCACTGAAATGTGTCAAAGAATCAGGACCAGACGGGATCCCGTCAGAAGCACTGAGAGCAGACGCAGAGACAACAGCAGACATGCTCACACCACTATTGCAGAAGGTGTGGAAAGAAGAGAAGGTACCTGGCCATTGATTGGAAGAAGGGTTACCTTGTCAAACAGCCGAAGAAAGGAGACCTCAGTGTTTGCAAGAACTGGCTCGGAATCACTCTCCTGTCCACCCAGAGCAAGCAAAACATTAAGCCGCATCATCTTGGAGAGGCTAAATGATGCGCTAGATCCAAAACTGCGACCGAAACAGGCTGACTGTCTGGCTTCAGGAAGTAGAAATCATGTGCGGACCAAATTGCAACGCCACACCACGCATCATCATAGAACAGAGTATAGAATGGCAGTCCAGTTAACTCTATACCTCAACTTCATCTACTTTGAAAAGGCTTTTGACGGCGTCGACCGAGAGATAATTTGGAAACTGCTTCAATACTACGGAATACCACAAACCTTTATCCGCCTCATTCAACAACTATATGAAGATGCCACATGCCAAGTAATTGACAATGGGAAGCTCAGTGATGCTTTTGAAGTGAAGACAGGAATGAGTGAAACAAGGTTGCTTACTATCCCCCATGATATTCCTGATTGTGGTGGACTGGATCATGCAGCAAACAGTGGGCAGCGAGAAGAGGGGGATACGCTGGCTGGACTGCGGAAAAGAACCTAGAAGATCTGGATTTTTCCGATGACTTGTGTCTGATGTCGCACAAACTTGAAGATCTGCAGGCAAAAACTAACAAATTGGCAGAAGAGGCAGGGCAGTGAAGACGGGACTTCAAGTGAATATAGAAAAGACAGAAGTGATGAAGATACCCAACCAAAAACAATAACAAACTCCAGCCACCATCAACGGGAGAAACTTAAAGAAAGTAACCTCCTTCACCTATCTAGGCAGCACTGTTTCAACTACAGGCGGGACAGACGAGGATGTCAAAGTCAGAATCGGAAAAGCAAGATAGGCGTTCATTAGCCTGAAACCAGTGTGGAGATCTTCTGCACTCAGCAAGCGGAACAAGATCCGGAGTTTCAACACCAACGTCAGGTCAGTGCTTCTGTATGGTTGAGAGACTTGGCGCGTCGCGAAAGGGATTTCCAATAAACTACAGACATTCATCAACAACTACTCACGCTCGCTACTGAAGACCAGATGGCCAGAATAATTAGAATAAGCTACAAGGAGCTCTGGGAACGAACCAACGAAGCAAGAACCTATCACCTAACGAATGTGCAGAAGGAGGTGGAGATGGATCGGGTATACACTGAGGAGGCCGACTGAGGACAACACGCATCAGGCCAGGTTGTCAAGTGGAACTCCTATGGGAAGCGACGAGTTGGACGTCCGAGGGTGACATGGAGGAGATCGTGCGAGGAGGAAATGAGAGCTTCTGGGCTGTCGTGGAGCCAGGTTGAAAAGATTTCAGAGAACAGAGTTCACTGGAGGCGTGCTAGTGAAGCCCTATGTTCTATTGGGAACCCAAGGGACAAATAATAATAATAATAAATACTGCATACACTAATTGTCAGTCACGTCACATATCAATCAGGACATGTGAGCTATAATCTCACCATGTATTGATTACTACCAGATTAGAATATAGCAGAATGACTTCAAGTTGGAGGCAAAGTTTGTCTGATTCCTGTCACTTGGACAGTGTACCTCAATTAGAAGGCTTTGTGAAATGCTGACTGATCTCTCTTTCCCATATCACTGGAAAAGTTAGGAAGAAATACCAGTGAATAATTGATAGATGGGATAGTCTATATGCTTGTCTTGTTTCTGTATGGTGTTTACGCTGCCTTAAGAATAACAGGTTATGTTCATTGATTCAAATATACTAAAATGTAGATGAATGAGAACTGCCAATCAACTCATGTGAATACGATATTGACGTATTGGAATGGTAATGCATCCCAATATGCTAAGTTCAAATTTCATTTCCTTCATAAAAATGAAGAAATTCTAAACCTCTGTAAATTAATCAAATATTTGGGTTAATTGAACTGTGTGTGAAATGTTTTTTCTCAAAAACTTGTACGGTTTAAAAAAATGATAGGTGAAAATACGTGCAGAATTACGACAACTTATCCAACTTGTCCGTACAGTATTTCGAGCTACAAGAGAAACAGATCGAGAAAACTTTATTGAACGGCTAGCTAAATCGTTCCAGGATATTATAGTTGATTTTGCTGATACAGATGAGACAGGTGAGTTAATAGATCATGTTTGTAGCCTATTTTGCTCTGTTGTCTCGCGTTATATTACTGGAATTATGAATCTTACACTAATTATTAACTTAATCTAATTCGTGCATGTATTTGAAGATAAACAGTTACTCTGCTATGAATGATAGACGCAACCAACAGATGTTCATTTGTATTGTTTCTTCAAAGGTTATCAGATGACCAAGTGAACTAGTCATTATATTGTAACCATGAAATTGCTATTATTATTATTTATCCCTTAGGTTCCCAGTGGAACATAGGGCTTCACTAGCACGCCTCCATTCCACTCTCTTCTCTGCAAACTTTTAAAGCTGGCTCCATTACTGCCCACATGCTCTCATTTCTTCCTCGCATGACCTCCTTCATGTCACCCTTGGCACCGACGCTTAGCTCGTCGTTTCCCATCTGGGTTCCACTCGAGTGCCTGGCCTGGCCTGGCCCGTGATGTCCCCAGTCAGCTTTCTCAGTGTATGCCCAATCCATCTCCACTTCCTTCGGTATATTTGTTGAGCGATAGGTTCTTGGTTGGTTCGTTGGCAAGCCAGAGTTCCTTGTTGCTTATTCTTTCTGGCCATCTGAGCTTCAGTAACGAGCGTAGGCTATAGTTGCAACTAATAATCAAGCAGTGTTGTGATGACGTAATGATCAACGCCAACAATATTATCAGTCAAGTTCAAGACAGACTGCATAAAGATTCTTAAGAACGTTTTACTTTCTTCACACTACTATTATTTATAACTCGCCTAGTGGTAACTAGCCGTGGAATCTAAAATGCGTATTTTGTCCTATTTATGAACTCGTCAACTACATGTGTTTGTGCATATTTTAGCCCTTCTTCTTCTTCTCCTCTTTTCACAACCTTCTACTAATTTGACTACTCTCTATTTATTTTTCGACTTTTTATTCATCTTAGTGTCTTCCACCTTGGTATGCTGTTAAAAGGTGTGTGAACTTGGAATGTTATTCAGTTAAACCAAGTAGCATGTTGGTGTTGACTGATTAGTGTTTATCTGCCCCACAGTCCCTCATGGTTCTCTCATTACGATTTAAACTCAGTGATCATCAAGGTTAGATTAAAAGCAGTTGCCGCTGTGGTGTAAATTGGTACAGTATCATTGGTGTTTGAGGGGGAAGTCCAACTGCCGGCTAGGGTTTGACAGCAGTAAGGTGTAGACCATCATTACCACACTGATGCCGCCTTCCTTATGGGAAAGGGTAGGTGGGAAAAAGTCAGCCCCAAAAATAGCACATCCCTTCCTGCCCGACAGTCTTCCGGTAATGGCGAGATAGGTTTGTTGTGTCTGGCGTTAGGACGACCTAAACTCAAAACAGCAACCTGCGAAAGACCGGGTGTGACCAGCATCTAGCAGATGTCCGTTAGGATTTGCGGTCACACACTATCCATTCTTTTTCACATACCTCAAGCAGAATTCATCTTTCGTGATATTAACAGCCAGAAAGTATCAACTGCCCACACGCTTCCATTAGTTGTTCACAAGACCCAGTCAAACATAACCTATCCTCCTCACTTCTGTCTCCTCATTTGCTTCCACCTCCTGATACTAATATTCACGCTCTTATGTTATCCTCAACCTCTCATTCTGCGGCCATTGCCAACGATCAAAGCCATCTAAACCTCATTCCTAGTCTTCTAAGGCCCCAGTCACCATTGATGTCATGTTGGAGCCTTCAATTTCCGACCTCCGCGTCGAATAGAACAGCAGACGTCGCTCTTCAGGACTGTGTAATTTCCAGTCATGGATGTATGCTGTGTTTCTGAGACATATAGGAGCAGATTATGGTTACGAAATCGGCCTCATCTGGAGTAGGCATACTGGTGAGCTGTAGGGGAGGAAGTACGTTTCTCAACTGGATACCAGTCAGCAACCGTCTATGTGCTGTTTGACTGAATGAGAAAGCTAGAGAAAGAAAAATATCAAACTTAGTCATAATAGCAGGTCCCCTTACCGCTCATGTAGGGCAGCTGAGCTAGTAGAAAAGGCATCTTGGACATATTCATAAAACCAACAACGGTGATTGTCTCTTGCAGTTTCATGTTGACGGTCACGTGTTTCTGACCAGCACTAACTTTAAGCATGAGGAGGCAAGGTCTCACATAGCGGCCGCCGACTTCAAACAAACGATGTACATATTGCCGTAAGGCATCAGTAAGGAGGATGTGTTGCATTGTCGTTAATTCTATAATACCGCTTTGAACTGAGATCACAGGATAGTACGGGTTCGTGTATGTCTGGACCATAATGATCGCAAGAAGCAGGTGATGGCTTGTTTATGGTGGATTGAAAGATTAGGACGCAAAAATGCACATTTAGGAAGGAGTAAGCTAGGGATTTATCTGAACGTGACAACAGTCATCATCCTGAGGAATCTTGGCGTGATACTGAGTCTGCTGTTGAAATAGTGGTGAAGGCGATTAGTGTCCTACACCCTATGGTTAGCAAACGTCACTGCATTTCCGCGACGTCATTCAAACTGACTGGTGCGAGAAGACTGATTCCAGCTGGCTGTATCTGACCACGGTAAAGAGTGAGAGAGATTCAAACCTCACTTGACCATTAGTCTTCGCAAGGACTGCGAGCAATGGTGTGGCGAGAGCGAAAGTGAGAGAGATGAAGAGGAAACCAGGACTGGGTAACACGCGGCAACTATTTAGGCTTATTAAGGATACTGGGAAGAAGATGATGGTTGGTGAAACCATCATCGAAAAGGATGGGATGTTGGTAACCTGTCAGAACAGGTGGCTGCAGTGTTGAGTAGAACACTTTGAGGCACAGGTAAAGAGGCCTTCAGCAACCCTTCAGTTGCCTAACACCCAGCCTGAACCAAAGTGGCACGCGGGTGCTGGCCATCCAACTTCCTTTGAGGTTAACAAAGTTGCGTCAAACATGAAACGATGCAAAGTATTGTAACCTTAGAGTTTACCACTCAAAGGTTCCATCGATGGATGTGGGAGAATGCTAATTAAAGTGACCGAGGTACTGGGTAGTGTATGGGAATCAAAGGTGGTGCCGTCAGACTGATATACATCACTGACCATCGGAGTTTATAAGAATAGAGACAATTCTCCCTATTACTATCATATCTGAATCAGTCTGACTAATACTGCGTCCAAGATCCTAGAGTCCATAGTTATTCGATGCCTAACTGGGGTTCGAGTACAGCAAGCTCTATGCAGCCAAGCAGGTTTCAAACAGAGCCGGAAGAGGGTGAACCGATGAGATTTTCACCCTCCAAAAGGTTCTGGGAGACAGGCATGCTCACCGACAGTCAGCAGTTGCTACGTCTCCCGACATGAAGGTGGCGTTCGACTCTGTCAGGCGTGAGGTGTTGTAGCAGTGTGTGTGGCTGTAAAGGGATTACTGAGTAAGCATATAGTGTTTATCAAAGGTCACCACTCGAACTCACTCAAACATGTAGGGGCTTATGGACATTCATCATGTGAATCAGTAACAACTAGTGGTATCTGCCTACGATGTCCACTGTCACCGTTCCTATTTAACTTCGTTAAAGACGTACTAATGGACATAAAATTAGATATGTTTGAATTTACAGAAATTGATCTACTCGCTGAAAGACACCTAGTTGACTTGGAGAATGCAGACGATGTTGTTTTGCTAGGTGAAGATACTGACAAAATACAGGGTCTCGTTAACGTGTTAAGTAGAAATATGAGTGCTTGAATGGGATGTGTTTCGCACATATGAGATATAAGAAAATGCTTGGGGTTACTGTACAGTAGTTACTCACAATATAAGGTTATGGGGTAAAGTTGTGGGGTCTGCCAATTACTTCAACTACTTAGGGGGCTGCATCAGTCCGAACGCCCTGGTTCCTCGCGAAATCTTGGCTCGGATACCGAAAGCTCTTTTGGCATTTACCAGGATGCGTTTTCTCTGGCTCCAACTGGCGAAATATCTGACTGTCGATTGAAGGAATAGTATACTGTGTTGCAGTTAGTTCTGTCCTGTTACACGGCTATGAGTCATAGCCGTAGGAATTAGAAGGTATGGAGCAGTTACAAGACTTTGATTATCGATATCTTCGTAGCATTGCTAGCGTTTGGTGGAATCACCGTGTGAACAATGTGGAGGTCATGCGACGGGTACTAGGCAAGATAAGAAAGTCAATTAATGAGGTTGTGAACCTTAGTCGACTGAGATGGTTTGGACATATATTGCACATGCTGAGCCACAGCCTACCTCAACCTCCCATGCTGGGGAATTCGGGTTGGTTTGGGAGAGGGTTCAGGGTGACCAGACCAAGATGTGGCACCAACCAATGAAGTCCGAAACTGTTGGTCTGAGCCATGTGAGGAGGCGTAGAGTTCGTGTTTGATGTCCAAGGGACCATGGGAATCAACTGTTGCAGACTAGATGAAATGGTCTGAAATCAGTCACGATGACCCTAATTTATTCATTCTTCGACGTCTTCTAAAGTTTGAATATTCGCACTAACCGTTATCTTCAGACTATTTATTCCTTGACACAACTTTTTCTGCCTTGACATCACTCACTCTCTCTTTCTCTATCCATCTGTTCTTTGTGCACTACCGAGAAGTGTTGCAAATTGAATCGATGAAGTTGTTTGCAAGGTACTACGTTGATTTTGTCTGTCTACGTACCTCGATATTGCTTACAGTTTCACTATGTTGCGATTTGTTTTCTTTGGGCTTTCGTGTTTTACCTGATCTCTTGTTTTATTTCTGTTGGTAAGATTGTTCACCAGAGGCTGCATGAACAAGAATAATTATCACACAGGGTTTTGGTGTACAGAAATGAATGATGTTATTCGACATTATTTAAAATCCTTACAGTTTTGTTATTTGGTTTCAATAATCTTGAATCCTGGTAGTTAAACAACCTGACTGTTACTGGTTTGATTTTAGATGAGAAAACAATCCTTTGGTAAACTTTTTACGAAAACAGAGTTGATGTCACAATCGTTGTTCCGGTTACGTATCCCAGCAATTCTTGACTTCATTGGATAAATGTAACGTGATTACTGTCATTGTTGAGTAGATAATTGGCTGTCATTCGTTGACCTCTTTCATCAATTGGTACTTAAAACTGCTTAGACATTTATTCCCTAAACTTTCTCAAGAGATTTGCATTTGTTATTCGGATTCGTGATGATAATTATACACACATAGATACAAGAATAGACAGCCGATTAAGGTAGGTAGTATACCGAATCCAGCTGATAATTTCAAGACAAGGTTAATGAGGAAATTACTATTCAACTAGTAACTGGTTATTCACATAAGTTCCAAAGTTGTGACAGTTGTAACCATTATTTACTGATATGGTATGCTTATTCTATACTGTCTCTTACTTTGAACGGTTGAACTAGCGTGATATTACAGTGGCCACAATATTTGTTCTCAAGCAGTTTTTGTAGCATAATAATGTGTACACTTTTACCCTCTGTTTGACGCTACCTCTATGGAATACATCTTATGTTACTGGCGTCCTGAACTGTTTCGTAATCAATGTTGGGGTTGCATTCCCCTCATTTAGAATACTTTGATTTGCCAATCGTTGTCCTGAGTAAGTAAGTACAGTTGTAAATCATAAATACTAGTCAAGTCTATGGTTCAGTTTAGAACATCCCAATGAACTGCATACGTGGGGAGAGGATGAGGAATTCCACGTTTTTACGTCTTTACAAAACTTAATGAGGAATAGAAAAAGAAGAATACGAAATGAATAAACTAGATTTTTAAAAGTAGCAATTGATTTTGACACAAGTAAGTTAAAACGCATCGATAAAAAAGTTGAGGTCACTTCACAACATATTAATCACATTATAAATCCACTTGCATCATTACACCATTATTGTATTCATAGGAACTGTTTTGGGATTTTTGTTCCCCTACCCTAACTTGACTCACTTTCTAAGAAATGCCGTTCCTGATAGTCTTGCCTTTGGGTCGTTTTTAGTATTCATCATAATTAGTATTATCCAAACATAAATGCTGGAAGATTTTTAATTCGCGATTCAGTACCTAATACTTTAGCTGCTGGTTATGCAGAAACAAGAGAAACTCACGTCAGATGATCAAACAAAAAGAAGACAACTTGGCTGATTGACTTCGGTCAATGCTGAGTACTTTAGACTTGGGAGTTACATCAGTCCATGCATATTTTTACATCCTTCCACACCATACACCGAACTTTGTTAACAACAGACCTCACTTTATATACCTTTGTTGATTATGCCTTTTTCTATTTACAGAGGAACGAATCGGTGATCTTTCTATCCTAATGAGGGCACAAACAGAATTCATGTGCGCCTTAATGGCTCATATGTTCGAAGAATAAGGATAATCAACCCATTTATACTGTTGTGCTTTCAATAGATATGTGCTTTCTTTTTACAAACTTTTCTACCGTTGATCATTGTTTTGAAGATGATATCATATTCCAAATTTTGAAATAAACAACTTTTTCCTTTGGATTTGTTCTTTTTTCTGACACTGTTATCTGTTTTGAGATTGATTAACAAAATGCTGACATGTAATACAATACGTATTCAGGACAATATTTATTTGAAATAAAAAGTTTTTTGTATGCTGCCTGTTACTAAGTAATGGAAATCATATTTGTCGACCATCAGGCAAATTTTTCCACCCATATAACGGCCGACTTGAAGTGTTCTAGCTTCCTCATTCTACAGATCTCCAGCATCACTTGTATACCTCTGGGAAACGTGTGTGGAACTAGATTTTTATCTCATTGTCATTCTTGTCTAGTTTGGAAGTGAATGAATGACAACCGATGATTAGATCTTCCAACACTTGTTGATGCAGTTAGCGAACGATTATTTTCATGCATGCGGATAAACTGTTAAGTAACAACATCTGCAAGGCTAGAGAGACCGTGTAATTACAATGCTTATATGCTGTTATCCTAAGGCCACTAAAATCCTGTGCAACTGCCTAAAGTAGCTGTTATGGTGTCATCAACAACATGAAGATGAAAAAATGGTCGTCTATAATAACCGTTAATTTGATTATTTTCAACGAGTGGACGTCGTACTGCTAGCTCAATGGGGTATGACAGCAGTAAGTTGATTCCCTTAGATGACACACGTGGTCACGCTAATGCTACTTTCCCTTTGAGAAGGGTTAGGGTAGGACAAGGTCAGCCGTATAAACGGCACACTCCTCTCTGACACACGGTATTCTCATGCCGGCTGTATAAGTTCAATCTAGCTGGCGTTAGAACAACCTAAACTCAAAACAGCAACCTGCGAAAGACCGGGTGTGACCAGCATCTAGCAGATGTCCGTTAGGATTTGCGGTCACACACTATCCATTCTTTTTCACATACCTCAAGCAGAATTCATCTTTCGTGATATTAACAGCCAGAAAGTATCAACTGCCCACACGCTTCCATTAGTTGTTCACAAGACCCAGTCAAACATAACCTATCCTCCTCACTTCTGTCTCCTCATTTGCTTCCACCTCCTGATACTAATATTCACGCTCTTATGTTATCCTCAACCTCTCATTCTGCGGCCATTGCCAACGATCAAAGCCATCTAAACCTCATTCCTAGTCTTCTAAGGCCCCAGTCACCATTGATGTCATGTTGGAGCCTTCAATTTCCGACCTCCGCGTCGAATAGAACAGCAGACGTCGCTCTTCACTGGATACCAGTCAACAGGAGTCTACACGCTGTTCAACTGAATGGATCTGTAAGAACTAGGTAGGTTCTCGAGGCTAAGCGAGACTAATTCCTAATCTCCGCCCACGCAGCCACTGCTTGCAGTTCAGATGATGCACAGGATAACTTCTGTGAGATGCTACCAATTTTGCTGGAGAAAGCAAAATTTTCAGATGTTGTTATAATGGCAGGTAGCTTTAACGCTGAAGTAGAGAAGCTGAGCCGATTTGAAAGACATCTTGTAGGTATTTACAGAGTTCCCTGTCAGCGAGCCGACAACGCAGTTCATCTCTTCAATTTTGTTCCAACAATCACTTGTTTCTCACCATCAGTGAGTTTAAGCACAGAAAGAGAAATTGTCTCAAATGATGTCCACCGACATCAAACCAACGATGGATACAGACAGATCAAATCGACATTAGCCATCGTTGGATAGGACTGGTGGGGGATCCCCGTATATTTCTGAACCTGACTGGTCACAGGAGAGAGGCAACGGCCAAACCTGTCCATGATTGATTGGAAGATGAAGAGACCAAGTACTCATTAGGAGAGCAGTTAACTAAATGTTTGTCTGAACATGACAGTCACTCTCATCCTGAGTAAATCTGATGTGATATTCAGTCTTCCATAGAATCAGCGGTAAAGACAATTGGCAACATGCGAAGGTTAGCAAATGTCATTGCATTCCCAGAAAAACATCATTCGAACTGATTCATACGATAAAACTGGTTCCAGCCGGATGACTCTGATCGCGATGAAGAGCAAGAGCGACTCAAACCTCACTTGACCAAGAGTATTTATTTGTAATGACCACGAGCAATGATGTGTGGTGAGAGCGAGAGTGAGAGAGGTGAGGAGAGCATCAACGTTGGGTAGCACTCGGAATCCATTTGGGCATATTCAGCATAGTGGCAAGAAGAAGATCATGGTTAGTGAACCGTCCTCGAAAGGATGGGACACTGACAACCGGTCAGGACAGGTAGCTAGAACATTGAGCAGTACACTTTGATGCACAGTTCACCTGGTCCTCAGCAAGACTTCAGTTACCCAGCATTCAGCCTGAGCCCGGATGGCATGTAGATGCTGGTCCTCCAACTCTCCTTGGAGTTGGTGAAGCTGCAGCAAACATGAAACGATGCAAAGCATTGGAGCCTAGCAATCTCCAACGATGGATGTGGGAGAATGCTGATTAAAGTGACCAAGGTAGTGAGTGGTGTATGGGAATCAGAGGTGGTGTCATCAGACTGGTCTACATCACTGAATATCGAAGTCTACAAGAATGGAGAGAATTCTTCCTATCACGATCATAGCTGAATCAGTCTGACTAATATTGTGTCCAAGATCCCAGAGTCCATAGTTATCCGACTCTTAACCGCCACAAACTCGCGAAAACCGGATAGGTTTCAAACTTAGATGAGGGTGCACAGATGGTATTTTCACCCTCCAACAGGTCCAGGAACACAGGTATACCTGCAGGCCAGAAGCCGACATGTGTCATATTCCTTGAGTTGAATGTGGCATTCGACTCTGTTGAGCGTGAGGTGTTGTAGCTGTGTGTGACTATAAATGGCTTACGAAATGTCTACTATGATACAGAAGGTTTGTTTGTTATATGGCAGCAAGCGTCGCCTGTGGCGCCGACTGGTGAGATATCCGAATATCTATTAAGGAACCGATATGTTGCTCTACAGTCCGTTCTGTCCTGTTATTTGGCTTTAAGAAAAGGTTTCTAATTGTAGAAGACATGAAATCGACGAGCATATTTGATAACTGGTGTCTTCGCAATCTTTCTCACTTTCGCTGAAATCACCATTTAAGAAATGTTGAGGTTGGGCGAAACTTTCTAGGAAGGAAGGCAAGCTGATTGATTAGGTTGTGAGTCTAAGTCGACTGAAAGGACTTCAACAATTACCTAGGGGTGGAATGCCTTGGGAATTTAAGTTGAAAGAGTGTTCGGGATGGCTAGACCAAGTTATTACACCGTCACACGAAGTTCTATGCTGTTGATCTGTGCCGTATTTTGAGATGTAGTGTTGATGGCTGTAAATCCAGAGAAGATAGGTGTCAGCGGTAGAGAATTCATTAACAGTAACGTTTTAATTATCAGTATCTGTGTATGGAATCTGCTGCAACCTTCATTTATTGGAGATTCTTAGCCTCCAACAAATCTTGTCCTTGAAATTAGGTGTTTTCATTTACATTTTAATTGTCGGAGGATTCACTATCTCACTAAACGTTATGTTCTTGGGCGTAGTTTCAAGCAGACAAATAATTAAATCTATACTGATTCTGAACATCTGTTGACTCAGTTGCCTAAAACGTGCGTTACACATGCTTGGCACATAATCCTTTCTTACATTATCGTGTTATAGGAAACTGGATGGAATTAGAAAAGAGCTAAATATGACTAGACGAAGATGTCACACTAATCGGGATATTTTGCCCTATGTAAATACCTCGATATTGTTGGTACTTTCAGTCTGATATTAATGGCGGGTAATTATGAGCAGTGGAATCCAGGACACAAGTTCCATCTTATTTGCAACTCGTAAACTTGATTCACTTTCCTCATTAGTGATTTTTTTGTTCCCACTGAGAATTGAATCTAGAACCAATGGCTTCGAGCCCCGTAGCGTTGACCACCAATTCCACATACCGATAATGGTCGACTAATCCTGGCTAGTCAGCACGAAGAATTGTAAGTAGTAACATGAAAATAAAAATGAAAAACTAAACCCATCACATAAGGAGTGACCTGGGGGATAGCGCTCTGTCATTTAAGGCGATTGGTTGTGGATATTGGTCTTAATGGGAACAGCATTACTCACAGGGAGGAAATTACACCAAGCCTATGAGTCCCAAATAGGATGAAATGCACATCCTAGATCCCACTGCTTTCCACTACTCATCATTTATATCCATTTGACACTTATCACCAGAGTTACTGACTATCCAAATGTTTAGTCCAATGGCTACATCATGAGTCTGGTCAACGTGATTTGATCAGCATGCAAGTTGAAGTGGGTTGTATTCATTGTCTTATATTATCTAATCCTTATATTGAATTCGTGATTAGTCAGTTTTTCATAGTTACGAGAATTGTACTTTCTTGGTCATAAATTAATATGGTTGGTTTTTGTGGCAAGAGTTGGGAGCAACAGGTGCTCATTGCAGTTTCTTCAGATTAACTGAATGAGCTAATGAGTTGAAGTGAAGAGATTTGTGTCCTGTGAAAACGATGACTACGTGGGAAATGTTCTCTCTTGTTTTCCACTGTGAATAGGTAGACTTTTCAGCTTATTTTTGTTGAGATATGACCAGAATTGCTGTCTGGAACTCTGTATCAGTTGTTCGTACAACAAACGGAACTGTGTTACTGTATTTCATCCATTTTGGGAGGTCTCACTTGAATGTTGAGGGACTGAGCTATGGTTCTGAAGTGATCGAGTGGACCGTAATCAATGCATGAAGCGATATTAAACGCAGTGAAACACTTGGAGTGTATATGAATATCGACTGTTTTCCTCAGTAAATAATATTTCACTGAGTGGCGAATACCAGAAAGCAAAGACTAGCCTGCTACTACTAGGGAGAAACTTTATTCTACAGAAATGTATGATTTATATGCTGTTTTCATCAACACAAAACCACTAGGTCAAATGATACATACTTATTTAGATTGGTCGAATAAGGTTTTTCCTGACTACACAGTGACATGCAACAAAATTTGAAATCTGAGAACTTCCGTCTTGGTGGCTGGTGACTTAAATGTTGATTTCTATTCAAACTACTTCCTATCAGATTCATTTCGACTATGTTGAGTTATTATACACAAACCTATGTCAGCGACTTCCACCTCGCTTACCTTTCGCTGGCTTTGGATTTCACTGATTGAATTACATGCAAGAGATGTAAACGTGAAAGTGTTTAAGAGACTATCTTTTGTAAGGCTTGTCAAAGAATCCAAGTGAATACAGTGTTTCGTCATTTAGTTTAGCAGCTGATGTTCACTCCCTTATCCGGTACACTAGAATCTATCACTCTTCATTGTCGACATAGGATGTTTGTATTATTGTGAAGCGTACTCGGTCGTTTGTCTATTGTTATCATCTTTATCTACTTTGTTTTTTCTCTGTTCAGTAATTCAAGGTGTTCATAATTGGTTGACGAAGCTGAATCGTATAATTGAACAGTTAATCGAGCATTCTATCAATGTACAACAATCTAATGTATCATGGGAATTGAAATATGAAATGGATAATGATCCGTTGTTAATTCACTCTCCAGGCTTTCTTAAGTTTCATGTGTCTGTTATAAACGGGTAATTTTGCTTCTTCCTTGTTTTGCGTTATGCTGAATTTATCTGTTGTTTATTAATGTACCTAAATTAATGATGATTCGTTTACTATTCCTTGTGTATATCAAAGTTCAGTATGTTTGTTCCTAATCTGATGCAAAATGACCAAGTGGCTAATGCATGAGTTGATTATGTGCCTTGTGGTGGTACAGTATGACTTTATCATCGTCTAGTTGATTTGATGTTGTACACAATGAGTGAGATAATTAATATTACTGACTAGATGACGTTTCGACCACGACTGATTTCTCTTGGTCAAAACACTATACAAGTATCTGTAAAACTCTACTTTCCAGAAGAAAGGGAGCTGCTGGATTATGGAGACGAATTTTTGAGGTCTTATGGTCACCTTGATTTGACGATGAGGAATAAATTGTTTCTGGAAAGATGTCGACTGTGTAATATTTTTTGTTAGTGGATGTTATGTTGAATGAATAAAGTAACGTCATCTGACACCATTTCGTCACTTCTCACTGTTTATATAGGATAAAGCCAGATTAACTTATGGCTTTTCTTTTGCTGTATTTACATTTTAAATAGGAGACATACTGCGTTTTAACATCTTTGTAAAGAAGGCGAAACGTGAAATATTGTTGCAAGTGGAAAACATGTTTTTAAAATCATACTACTTTGACTATTTTTAGTAGGCAGTTCTATGTGACTTAAATATTGCCCCTGTAAATACATGAAGCTGCGTCGAGGATTCTAGTTAGTTGTTGTTTTTAGGGAATCAAAAGGATCTCAGTATCACAAGATCATTAAACTTCTATTAAGTCAAGATAATACTGAACAGTATTTGTCTGTTATTGTAGGTACGGAAAGTGTGAATTTTAGACGTAGTCAGCAGTTTGGTGATATATTTCAGTTGATAGAGTACGATGCCGGTATCTCGTAGGTCGATGGTTCAACTGCTGCCGCGACCTAGTTTTTCATTTTTAGTTGTCAAGCGGTATCAATAACAAAGTGCCCAACCACGGCTATTTTGAATAGTTTCATTGATGAATATTTATTTGCCTTATATAAACACGAACTCGGTTGAATGTCGACATGAAGTTGAGCGCTACATAACGTCATAAAGCGAAGGGATGAATTCACAGATGAGAAAGGCAGAGTTAACAGGTGATTGGTTCGGCATGGGAGCTGCTGCGATAACATTCATAGCACATATCCAAGCCATCGAAACCGGTGTTGGATGATGATGTCATTCATTGAATAGCAATCTCTATGACACCGAAACAGATTCAGTTGCACCTGACAAATACTTACATGATGGTTCCATTGGATACAAGCAATCCTCCATAGATAGCAGTAGTTGAACACTGCGAATTATCGAACATCCTCACTTTAGAGATGGTGTTTCACAGGCGTACAGAAGGATTGCTATTGGTGATATTTTCTTTACCCCCACCGTGAACAATAGACTGAACGACACGTAAGATCTACAGGTGACCCAGATAAGCTTACGCCGTTCTGCCTTTTATACTCTTTGAGAATTGCAGTTTGTCAAACTTCCACTATCATCTATGTATCTACCTGGATAGACGAAACGTTTGAATTTTTTCGGCATTTCGCCAGCAAGGATGACTGTGTAGGTACAGGCTATTGTCAGTCTTTTAGAAGTAATTTACACATCGATGGTCCTTAGTGTATAGTACGCCTCCAAACATTGATCATCAAATGAATAATTACGACTTGATTTGTATGCATATCTATCTCTTGGTAGGAGGTAGAAGTTACCACTATCCACCTTGTCCAGAGCTTTGCAGAGGGTGCCATAAATGGCAAGGTTGAAGAGGAATAGGGAACTCTGACATTACCGGACTTATTTTGATTAGTGTCAAAGTATCTTTCCTATTTATGACAGCTGACTCAATGAATCAGAGTGAAAGCTTTCCGGCACCACGGATAATTAGTGATACCTTCAATGTAGCTACTTTCAATGCAAACTACATATTCTACGAATAGTTTGCAATTTGAATAGTCAATTTAGGGAATATATTCAACATCTGGTTTTTTTCTCGCTTTTGTTAAGGATCATGTCGTGAATCTACCGGGTTATTGTGGGTGATAGTCCTTGTGGATGTACTTTTACGTCTTATTCTAGCTTCAGTATGTTGACAGTGTCATGTAAACTGTTCATATTTCAGTTTATTGACTCATTGTTGGTGTCATTACGTGCATGGCACATGCTATGCACCATTGAAGTACAAAGCAGTTTGTCAAGGTGGTTAACCGTTGTAAGTAGTGTGAATGTTGTTATGTCTACGTTGTCTGATTCCTGATGAACATGAGATCAATCTTAGTGTTGTAATGAAAGACAGAATGATGTTGGCTGGTCTGACTCATCTCTGGTGTATTCACGACATCAGCTGAACTATAAAAAGTAGAATACACAGCACTTTGATGTAAACAGTCTTGACGAAGACCTCTGTGTGACCTACGCTTCCCTTCTTCAGGCCAATTATTTTCGGGGTCTGTTTGTGTTAGTGTCCAATGACAACATTGTTCACGTAGTTTGACGATGCATAACTGGATGTAATAAACATAATTATCCTATATGGTATCACTTGACAAAATCAGGTCGTACTAATGCAGAATATCTGAGAAGATTGAGTGCGTACATTTCATATCTGATAGGAAATTCCTACATACAATGGAAAAGATCATTATTCCTATGCTTTTCAGCAGGAATGTAGCGCAGAAACAAACGGATAGGCATTTGGCACACCGAAGACATCCTCTATTGAAGTTTTGAGTGTATAATATATTTTCTTTATAGACTGTCAGTTTATCCGAGAAGTAGTACATATTTCAGGTCGAAATGAATTTAAAAGGATTTCATTTGCCCTGATAACATGAACTTCAACTCCTGTTATAAACAATCTACAAATCTTGAGTATTTAAAGGCCTAATTTAGTTAATTGAATCATAGAATGAGAATTTGTTTATCTTCTCTAAGTCTTTCATACTTTTTTAATTGTTGTTATCATCGTCACCATTGTATATCGATGGTTAGTTAGTTAAAACAATAAATTCAATGTACAAGCTCTCGTGAAATTCTTTGTTTACAGTAAGGTCACTTGGTAACCATAGGAATATGCGCGTGTTTAAATCAGGTAGTTGGACAGATAGATCGAGCGAGAGAGAGAGAAGAATATATACAAGCAGATGTTTGTTACCTCATTAAATTTTGGCATAAAAATAAACTTTGTTTTGTTTATCTAATTCATGCGTAAATGAACTCACTAAGTCTTCTTTGAAGCATTTTTATACATCTGTAAATATAACTAACTGTAAAATAAATAATACTGACCATTTATGTATCACAAAATATAAATTAGGTTAGTCTGTAATTGATGAAGAATGAGATAGTCATTAGTTTCACATTCTTTGAAGATCTCTGTGTCATTCAGTGTTTCACTTTCTTTCCCTCCCTCAATTTATCAGTCTTTTTCTCTTGTCTATTCAAGGATAAATCTCAGAGGAATTGTAATACACTAATTTCACAGTTTTTGTTTCCTCTCACTTTTCTACTTCTTTTTATTTGCATATCAGATGGGACTGTGTCTTAAGTTGTACTTAAAAACAAACAAACATACATACATATATACATACATGATAATTAGAAGTTTCTTTCACACAAGCAGTAATTTACCATTAAAGCAGAAATTAGTGTAAGTAACAGGAGTAACTGACCAGTGGGGCTGGAGTGTTGTTTAAGCCTTCATATTTTATCTATATATATACCTCTCCCCCACCCCTCACCGACACAGGCACACACACACACAATAGAGATACTACACCTCTCAATGTTTTTCTAGTCTCTCACCCTTTCCAGAATAACAACAAAAAGAAAGAAACGAGAATGATGAGAGAGAACAACAAGAAAGTTTGATAAACAAGCTTTCTTTATCATTGAAGAAGCAAAATTGAAAGACTTTCTACCAACTTGTATATGTGTTCGAAAGTGAACAGTTATAAACCCCAGATATCGTGTTCTGTAATGGCATAGCCTGTGAACCTCAGAAGTTGACTGGACTAAACTGATCGGACACTACTGACATATAGGCTCCTGCAAGAATGCCTTGATATTTCCTATATTTTCAAATTTGATACTAGTGATCAGTAGTGGGCAGCTATGGAATCTACGATGTGAGTTTCGTCCTTTTTGCGACCTGGCAGCCTGTCTCACTAGGTGATGTTATTCCCACAAGTTATAACATCAAAGACTACACTGTACCCGTCACAAAAGAAGTGGCTGTCGTGACTCAACGCCCCGGAGGATAACCTCCTAGTGTTTAAAGCGATTGGCAGTGGATTTTAGTCTTAGAGGGAACAATATCATTCACTGAGAGGTAGGTACATCCTCATGACAAGTCCCAAGTAGGAGGAAACGCCTGTTCCGGATTCTACTGCTAGTCACTCTCTATCATTTATATCTAGATATAATTTACAAGCATCAAGACTGTGAGGTAGGAGACTGAAGTTCACCAACAAAGAACATATTAAGAGACAAGTCAACTTGTCGTCTAGATGTGTTCATATGTTTGTCAATAATTTGGTTGATATGAAGAAATAAGGGAAACTTTTAAACAAAAGGGATCGAGGGAAGCAAACTAATTGAACTGAAAACCACTGGCTGGTTTTTACATGAAGAAAATCAGATATTAAGATAGATGACAGTCAACTAAGAGGTTTTTCTTCAAATCGAGTTCGAGTTGTATTTCAACTGCCTGTTTGTTGGCGATTGGGCATTATTACTGCACTTCACACAGAAAGTGTTTTAAAACTCAGAACATGAATCTATACACGGTTTACAATATCCAGAACCCAATTTCCTAAAGATGCTTCTTTTCCACCCTTTTCATTGGTCGTCTATTTTGAGAATTTTCTTTTGTCTAAGATAAATTCTGTTGTGTATCTGGTTATTGGTTGGTTACTCTTGTCGGTGAGTTATTCCTGAAGTTATCTGATAGATAGAGGTTCTTATGAAGAATACTTAAATCAATGAAGCA